CACCATCCATATCCACCCATTCTTATGGCCATAAGTTTCCAATTCCTATGCCCTAAAACTTTTATGTCAACTTCAATTACATTCTACAATAAATCAAGATCTGTAAATTTTATGTCATAATTTTATAAATTTTAGAAATATTTATAAACAATAAATACATATAAAAACAGTCTTTATTTTATATGTTTAATATTGTTAGTTATTTCTTGATTTCAATGCACCACATGAATTAAGTAATATAATATTTTTATTAAAAATACAATAAAAGTATATTATGGTAATGATTTACTTTTTATTCTTAAACAAAAGCGGTCCTTAATATTAAAGTTTTCTTAACTTTTGCACATCACAGCATTATAATAAATAGAATTGAAGTATGAAAAGAAAGAGTAAATGAAAAAAGTGAAGAAGAATGGGGTCAGACAGAATGATGGAGATGGCGACGGTGTTGCAGCCTCAAGTGCGAAGTCATGTCTCCCTCTTCCACTGGCAATGGCATGCTAAAAAGTAAGTGTTCCCTACGTTGCAAACCACACCACAACCCTCCATCATCGCTCTTCAATCAACGGTCACAACACAACCGTTTCATCAGTTCTAATTCACAGCTATTAGCTATAGCGAATCCATATATATATATATACGTTGGGTTTACCCCTCTACCTTTTCCCATCTTTATCTTTCCACACTTCTTCATCCTAAGCAATTAATCATTTCAGTTAGACGTGTTTTGAACAGTTGCAAGTTGGTTGATTCATGTAACTAGCTTGAGCTTGATGAGTTAAAGAGAGAGTTAGTTGGTTGATTTGGATGCTGAAGACTGGTGGGGTGGTTTGGAATCTGTTGAAGTTGATGGCTTCTACAATCGGTTTTGGAGCATTGTACGAGAAACTAACGACAGTGATGACCTCGGATCATGCATCAGTGGTCTCAATGAACCTTTTTGTTGCTCTTCTAAGCACTTGCATCATTATCGGTCACTTGTTGGAGGAGAACCGATGGATTAATGAATCCATCACTGCCCTTCTCATTGTGAGTTCCTCCCTACTATATATGATAAATATACCTATACATATATGTATACGTATAGGTCTCTAATACTTGTGTTTTTTATGTAGCTATGTATGAACATCAAATTAAGGAGATGAATTTGAAAGTTGTTTCTTTTTTATATGGGGTATTTTTGTGTGTGTATGGGATGATTGCAGGGTCTCTGTACTGGGGTCTTTATATTGCTTACAACTGGAGGAAAAAGCTCTCATATACTAGTCTTCAGCGAAGATCTTTTCTTTATTTACCTTCTCCCACCCATCATTTTCAATGCCGGGTTAGTTCACTACTCTTGCTTCAATTTTCCCCCATATTCAGCTCTGAATTACAAGTTGGAGCCCCCAAAAAATAAAATTAGTGACATCATAATTTAAACTGCTCTAGGATTTCTCGGCAGTTTAGTAAAACCAATAGCTGTATTCACTGAACTGATACTTCAATCTGAATGGATTTAAATACTGTTGTAGGCTTCTCACTGACTTCAATTGCTGTGTTATTCTTTAATGGTTCCAGGTTTCAGGTGAAGAAGAAACAATTTTTCCGCAATTTTATGACTATAATGCTCTTTGGGGCAGTTGGTACTTTGATATCATTCTGCATCATATCACTAGGTAATCTAAGTATTTCTGAAAAGTCATCGATTAACACTCTTTTTATGAATTAAAAAGTAGTAACAATTCTTCTTCGGTAGTCAACGCCTTGTGATAGTCTATCTCAATTTGTTTATAAATCTTATTTGTTTATTTATTTTGACTAGGTGCCATACACTTTTTCCAGAAATTGGATATTGGTTCCCTCATGATTGGAGATTATCTAGGTTTGCTTAAATTACCTCATTCTTTTTCAGTATTATGTTGGACTCATCTGCAAATTTGGGACATTTCCTTCTTCCCACCTATGACCTATCTCTACTTACCTTAGTCAAATAAATGCAGCAATTGGAGCAATATTTTCTGCAACAGATTCTGTTTGCACGTTGCAGGTATATATATACATCAAAAAGAAACATTGCCAACATTGTTTTTCTATTTTTATATTTTACCAAAAAGATCTTAAAAGGAAAAAATGCTTCAGGTTCTTAATCAAGATGAGACTCCTTTGCTATACAGCCTGGTGTTTGGGGAGGGGGTAGTAAATGATGCCACCTCCGTAGTTCTCTTCAAAGCAATTCAGAATTTTGACCTCTCCCACATTGACTTAACCACTGCCTTACAGTTAATAGGAAATTTTTTATATTTATTCATTGCAAGCACTGTACTGGGAATCTTTGTAAGTTTTTCTCCTACTTTCCTAATTCTGTCTCCTCTTCTCTTCTTTTCTTCCTGTTTGCCTGGGATTATAATTATTTTTTATTACTTAATTAATTTGTTTTTCAGGCTGGATTGCTCAGTGCATACATTATTAAAAAGCTATATTTTGGCAAGTTGATAAGGTTAGGGTGGTTAAGATTTATTATTTTTATTGAAGAAAAAAGAAAGAATTCCATTAATTTTCAGTATGCTTAACCACTACAATTAAATACCTCAGAACTAATTCATTTTCTAACAAATGCTAGGCATTCTACAGACCGTGAGGTTGCTCTCATGGTGCTCATGGCTTATCTTTCATATATGCTATCGGAAGTAAGAATTTTCTCAGGAACTTGGCCACCCTTTTAATGTCACTAATTCCAATATTGATAATTATTGTTTTCATTGGCAGCTATTTTCTTTGAGTGCAATTCTGACTGTGTTCTTCTGCGGTATTGTTATGTCTCACTACACGTGGCATAATGTGACGGAAAGTTCAAGAGTGACAACCAAGTACGCGAAATTCTTCAACATATTTTAATTCGATCTCTTATACAAGATTGGTTCTGAATCTAATGGTATTAATTCACTGATTTAATCACCCTACTGCAGGCATGTTTTTGCCACTTTGTCATTCATTGCTGAAATCTTTATCTTCCTTTATGTGGGGATGGATGCATTGGATATAGAGAAGTGGCGAATTGTAAGTCAAAGGTAAAAGGTTTCTAGTTGAAATCAAACTGCTTCGATATTACTTTGCCAAATATGAAATTAACATTTTGGTCTCTATATTAGTCCAAGAAAATCAATAGGGGTCAGTTCGTTGCTGTTGGCACTTATCCTAGTGGGAAGAGCTGCATTTGTTTTCCCTCTGTCCTTCTTATCCAACTTGCTTAAGAAGTATCAATCTGAGAAAATTGAGTTCAAGCAACAAGTATGTATTTAGTATTTTCCTCCAGTTTCCACTTCTGGGTCTTGATGACTGAGTCAACTTTTGTATTACATTCCTTCCATGATTTTGCTTCGCAGATAACAATCTGGTGGGCGGGTCTCATGCGTGGAGCTGTTTCTATTGCACTTGCTTACAATCAGGTGAAGGAACCAAACTTCATCACTTTCAATTCTTCATCTCTATGGCTGGAGTTAGTCTTTTAACAATAAAATATTTTTCACATGCAGTTTACCAGACTAGGCCATACTAAATTGCGGGAGAATGCCATCATGATCACTAGTACTATCACTGTTGTACTCTTCAGCACATTGGTTAGACACTAATATTTTTTTATCAGCATGGTTTGTGGTAATTATGTCATGTCATAACCCAAATGTTCTTAGTGTCCCACCAGTTGAAAATGAAAAGACAGGGTTCTGTGGTGGGTTTGGAAAAGTGTCATGTTCTTGTTCTGTTAAAGTAATGGTGTTTTATACGTGTAACGATTCATTATAACTTGGAATGTGAAAAAGCCACCAATTATGCTCTTTTTATAACTTTTGAAATGTGCAGGTGTTTGGGTTGATGACCAAGCCACTTGTGAGGTTATTGCTTCCTTCCTCTAAACACATAATCAGCTTACAGTCCCCACCATCGACCCCAAAATCATTCACAGTGCCACTTCTTAGCAATGGACAGGATTCGGGGGTCAATGGTGGCACCCCGAATGGGCCTCGACCAAACAGCTTGAGGATGCTCCTAAGCTGCATTCCTAATCGAGGGGTACACCACTATTGGCGCAAATTTGATGATTCTGTCATGCGGCCTATCTTTGGTGGACGAGGTTTTGTACCTTATGTTCCTGGTTCACCCCTTGAACAAAGTGTTCATCAGTGGCATTAAGATACTGATTATTATGTGATAAATGGTGTGGTATGGGCTTTGGTTGTGCACTTTTGTCAATAGATAGAAGATTTCAACATCACATGATACTGGAACAGAAAAAAGAAGAAAAAGACACGAGTAAAGAAAGAAGTTTATAGGAGGAATGTAAACACGTTTCGGTCATCGGGGGCTTTTTTGTTCCCCCTGATTTTAACACGGGTTGCTTGCTTGTTAGTTAAAATTGTAACTTGATGCTGGTCAGGTGATACAAATTTTTGTGTGTATACGTGTTTTGGTGAAAGGTCTTCACAATCAATACAGGTTTTATTTTGCTTGATTGTATTTAATGTTACATTTTTTAAAAGGGATAATTTTGTGAGTGTTGAATTTGTAACACTTATTTTCCTATGACATTCTAAATGACAGTACCATTTTGCTTCTAACACTTATTTCGATGTTTCCCGTTGCATAATACTTCTTGCAACGTTTACCACTTACAACAGTAAACATACAATGTGGATTGATGATCTACATGTGCATGATTACAATTTTTATATACGTTTTACTGCAACAATCGTACAGTTCTATTGTAAAGGGATACAAATTTATAATGTTGAATAGATATTGAATGGACGAAAAGAAAAAGATAAGAGAAAAATACAATAAGATGATGTGACGATAAAAGAATAGAGAAATAGGGAATATATATATATATATATATATATATATATATATATATATAAGGTGAACATAAAAATATAATAATTAAATTATAATTTCAAAGAAAGGAAAAAGTACATGAGTAGATGCAGCTTCATGACTCACCGTCACAAGAAATCCAAGAAATAAAAATAAAGTACCGCTGAACTCATGATTTTACTAATTTTAGTTTTTTATATTTTTCTGTTAAGAAAAGGTATAATAGTGCAAAATACTCATGCACAACCGACCATAATCGCCTAGGTGGCGAAACTAAATTGAATTCATATACAAACAAGAAGCCAGCAAAGGCATTGGTCCCTGTACTTGTGTTGCTCCATCTTTAATGTCTCCTTTAATAGAAACTAGAAAGTTCAATCAATCAGAAAAGAAACTAGAAATTGCAAGCATATCCTTCACTGATACGTCTCATTCGCGCGGATTTTAATCGAAGCATTTCTAGAAAAGTCAACGAACAGGCCTATGATGTCGGCTCAAAATATCAGAAAGCTGCTTATTATGCTTCTATTGAAAGGCTTAGTTAACTTGCATTTCACAGAGCTTCCCATATCGCATATTAACATCTGTCGAGTAAAACCATCACAATAAACAATGAACCATCCTCTATCTAATCACTGCAGAGAAATCCATGATTTTAGAACGTCTACCATCCTACACGCGCAGTTTTCGCCCTTATGGATGAATATAATATCCGACTGCCACACTGACAAGAGCAACCATGCAAACAAACAGTAATGGAAAGCCAGCCTGAACTCCTTTCGTATTGATTTTCCTCTTCAAGCGCTCCTAGCAAGACATGAAAAAATTGATATCAAATATTGAAAATAGTCAATAGCCAAATAATAATAATAATAACTAAATACATAATTGCATTGGTTTAAGGAGATAGAAGAGATGAAATATTCAACACAAAGCGCCGCTGCTGATATGTAATGCCAATTAGAATCACAATACCATTAATCAGAAAACTTTTTATGATCATATCAACAAGAACACCCCAGAATCGAAAACAAAAAACCTACCAACTCTTTCTTAAGTAAATCTTTTTCTTGAGTGTTCATGCGCCTCTCCTCATTCAGCTTCATGATGGTTACCTCAGCCTGCAAGGATTATAATTAAATATTAATTGATTCCATCTTTGAAGTTAAAAAAAAATTGGAACGCAAGAACTGACTCCAGGATTAGCTGAGATATCTTAGTAAACTACACTGGTGGCACGGCATAAGCATATTACAACCTTTTATGACAACTTATGGAACTAGGCAATGATAGAGTTGACAATCGTTCCTCTTTTTTGGCTCGCTGAGGACTAAAACAGTACGGTATTATGATGTTACACAGGCCTCGTTTTTTATAAAATTAGTAACGTGCTCAATTAATCGAATATCATATACCTTGAAAATAAACATTATAATTTATATTCTCCATAAATTTCCATTTAAGATAATAATGTAACCAGGTTCAGATAGTTTAGCAGCAAAATTACGTGGACTAGAAAAGTTGACATAAATATTACTGTGACATAGTTTAATATAAATTGATGAGCTCTAACCTCTCTTAGCTTTGAATCCATTATACCAAGCGTTGACTTCAATTCCTCAGATTCGTTAGCTAAAATCAACTGCACGTCATCTTTAGCTGGCTTCAAGTCACCAACATTCTCAAATTGTCTTTGCACAATATCCTCATCTGCTCTATCCTCCCTCGTATCCTGGGCTGCTTCCAAAACTTTAACATCCTCAGAAACCTGATGCAGGGGAATAATAAAATGGAAGAGTTATTGGTTATTATCCACCAAGCAGTGGAACAGAACATTATATGCTACCGCCATGTTGAACTAAAATTAAAACATTTCAGATTCACATATGGGTGGTGGCTATCAGATAGCTGGCAGCACACATACACAAACAAAGAAAAAAGTTAACATTGTTGTTCGTAGTATACTACAAGCTTACAATATATTCCCACATTAAATGGCTTTCGTAACTTCTTAATCAAAGCAAATCGAAAGAAAGAGTGAGAGATTGAGATTTGAAAGGCAAATAATGGAAGGGGAGGGCTCACTCTGCTAGGGGGAGGTATGTTTTCGACTCCACTGGCCACCCTATCTTTTTGCACATTAATTTCGATGGATGGATCATGCTTCATGTCACCATTTACTGGGAGCAACACTGGAGAAGATGGTGGGCTGATGAGGATTACCCTTAGTTTCTTCTCCTCAATATACTTTCCACTATCTTTTGCAAACTGTCGAAAGAGAACAAATTTAAAATCATTCAATATACCAAAGAAAAAATTCAAGGGAAGAAAAAAGCAGAAAAAAATAATTTCGAACCATTGAACTGGATCATAATCGTTCACCTTCCAGCCATATCAAAACAAGGGAAAAATAGATAAATAATATAACCTTACCGTATCAGATGCGATGTCATCTTCTGTGGTTCCAAACGGGACAACAGTGCTTTGAATCAGAAATTTGTCTTTGCACTGCATATCAAGCGGTGCCGTCCGCTGAGCTTGCATAGTAACTGCATCCAATAAATTTAGATGCATAATCCAAATTACATATATCTATAAACATGTAAGGAATGTATCAGTTAAAAATACTTTTCTATACAAAAATAATAAATTTATTCTATAAAATAGACGTTAAATTTAACCTTGAAGAAGGAGATAATGGAAAAATACCAGTAAAATCACATTTTTCCTTGGGCTTGATGATGCCTATGTTGGGTCTGACGCAATATTTCTTTGGTGACGTTGTTTTTACCTGCGATAAGGCTAGTAAATTACAGATACTTTTCCTGTCTTTATGATATTGATGTTTGATTCACTTGCATTTCCTTAATAAGCATTATACCAAGGGTCAAGCAAGAAAGATGCAGAAAAAAAAATATTGCGAACATTTCTCTTACATTCCATTAAAAAAAAAAAAAAACGGGAAAAGACATCAACGGTACCTTAAAAGCAATATACTCATCAGACTTGTTCCCAAGTTGAACCAAGCACGAACTCTGTTTCTTCAACTCAACTACCGGAAAAAGAAGAGTGACGACATTGTCATCATTGCAAATTACGAGGAAATCAAAAGGAAAAGAAAACAATTATGAAAATCAATATAATTTTTTTTTTTAAGGAGGAGTAGTAAATGAATTGTGAATAAGACTAACACTTACAGACAAATCTGAGTTCAGCGGGTTCGATTTGAAGAAGCTCCGTAGTCATGGTTGGTGTTCTGCAAAACGAGAATGAGAATGTGAAGAAAAGTTTATCGGAAACGAGAGATGTTACTGACGTGGAAGGAGTGGAACCCTAATTGGGGAAGAAGAAGGAGAAGGTGTTGATCTGATTCTGAAATCTGAATTGTGAAATGTGAAGTTGAGTTGAGTTGAGTTGAGTTGTTACATTGGAGAATGGGATAGTTGGCGTCGTCGGTTACGGGAGTGGGCCTCACACCCTCTGCGGTTGTACCATACAAATACATTACCTTCCCCTTTATCTTTCTTTTTAACTATTTAATTGCATTTACACAGTAATCATTTCTTTTATCCTATACCATTTTTGTTTCTTCCCAAATTAAACATTTCATTGACTAAAACCTATTTCTTTGTTAATGTTATGGGAATAATTTTAAAATATATATTGAAAATATTTATAATTTTTAAATTTTTTATCATTAATTTTAATTACAACAGGAAATAAATTTAAAATTATTGTTATCGTTCATTGAAATAATACATTTAGAAATTCATTGACTTTTCAAAATTATACACTAATCTATTATACAAAAAAAAAGTTTGTTTAAGAGTATTAAATAGTTAATTCTCGTGTCATAATACCAAATTCATTTTATTGATGGTGTGACAAAAGTTAATTATTTTAAGGTTCAATTATATTTGAACAACGTCAATTTGATCCTTTTATAAAAAAAAATTATCTTTATTTTTTTTGTCTAAATATTTGAAAATTTTGTGATAGATTTGAGTATGATGTAATTTTAAAAGGTTAAAAGTAAAAATTAAACTAAAACCAATTTTGAAAAAGTTCTTAGGATGTTAAAGATTAGAGTTTAAAATTTTAATATTTTGACTGAAAATTTTTAAATAACTTAATTAATTTAATTTGAAAAAAATTGAAATTTAGGTATAAAAATTTGACAAATGGGTCAATTTCAGTTAATTTAAAAAATATAAAATTTACTAACTAAAAAAAACTTAGAATCACATGTAATTTAAAATAAAAACAAAATTACTATAACTTTTTAAAAACAACTAATCGCATCATAACAGTATTGTCACGCTAAAAAAATTTATTAATTTTCTTAGATCAGTTTAATATATACAGTCTTTTTTTTTATCAACAAAAAAAATGAATTATAAGAGCAACAAAAAAAAAAGAATGAAACAACGGAAATATTGTCATTTGTTCACAATAAATTCTAGTGCATTTAGAAACATTTTTATGCTCTACATACACTATGGGATATAGCTTGTATCAATAAAAATAATGTAAAAAATATTATCAAATAAAAGGCATTGACGAAACATTTAATAAACGAAATCAACCATAATCAATGATATATGATTAGGGAATTTTTTGAAGTAAATTTGGTGGAAAGGAAATGTCAATGATATACTGAAAAGACTAAGCCTATCTGTATAAAGTATAATACTCCATTTCATGATTTGTAAGATGCTTTAAATGGAGATTGAAACAGAAATGATAAAAATATTTCACAAACTTAAATTATAATTGTTTTTATTCAATCATAATTATTCAATTTACAAAGGATATTCATATTCATTAAGAAGAACGCCACTAAGCGGGATTTTAAATGGACAAGATAAGAAAATCATTTTACTTCATTAGAATTTCTCGTATCATCACAAAGTTTTTAACGAAACCACGTATCTTAAATCACGAAATATGAACAAATTGTTAACTTGATATATGAAACCACACATAATTAAATTGTTAACTTGGTCTTTTGGTGAAATAAATAACTATTAACTCTATTAAAAATTTTAAATTTACTCTATCACGTCTTTATTTACTTTAAATTTTTTAACATACTAAACGTGTGCCCTTTTCTTAAGATCATGATATGTCCAACATACCAAATGGAGAAGGCTGAAAGAACTTGTTTTATATGTCAAAAAATTCAAACAAAAAGAATTTTGCTCCCTTTTTTTTTTCATATTCCCAGTAATCATTTTTTAACAAGAAATAAAAAAGTGAGGAACCGAAAAAAGGTGGCATTTTGTTTTGTGTAATTTCTATCTTCCTTTTCCTTACGTTTAAAATGAATTAAACAAACGTTTATAAAGTAACACCTTTTTCTTTTCTTTTCTTTTTGTACCCTTCTTTTCTTCCATGATTGGAAATGGTGGGGACTGATGTAACCACGTAGCTGAAACAAAACAAGGGGGAGGGTAAATTATAGCCCGAACCGAAATTGTTAATGAAAAAACAAAGCTTTTTATTCAATTTGTATACTGTAAGACAGCTAGCTAATTGATTGAATAAACAAAAAAACACACAAAAGATTATTATTAATTGGTTTCTTTTGGCCATGGTTTCAACGGCCTTCTTTATGTCATCTTTTACAAAGTAACAATGAGTGAGAATCAGAGTATGTCTCGCCTTTATTCACAAACAGCCTCAAGGTTCTTGTCATCTCCACAACTAAAATAAATTAAGAGACACTGCACATTCATGACAAAAATTATAGGTAATTTTAAGTGTATGCAAATTGACCTGCATAATCTGTGAATAACTGGGGCATTCCTGCAGTTAAACACAATTACTATGGCAGCTCCGAATGAATAAACTGTTGAATGAGTTGGCAACTACTACTATTATTTACTATTTAGTTGGCAACTTGGTATCTTTAGAGAGATGGCAGATAAATAGGTACACCAAATAATGCTCACTTGCCATTTTACCAACCATCCTTCCCATTATAGGTAACCTAATTAAGTAAAGTAATTACAATAGTTTCTACTTTTTCCCCTTGCAAAATTTTCGAATAAATGGTTTACTGAATATAGCTGTCATATTGCAGATTTTGATTCCTTCAAGGCTTAGTTGGAAAAACATAATATTAAAATAAAACAATTATGGAATTCATAATCGATAACCGATTAATAAATGGTGTCAATCTCTAAATAAAGATAGTTAACCAAGTTTATTGCATGCGACGATAAAATATATAGAAAAAAACATAACTTTTAAAAAGAGAGAGAAAAAGATCACAGGTGGGAAGCAGCTTTACCTTTCTCTTTCTACCAGCGATGCATCATTGTTGCGAGCCCAGTTACGTCCACCGAGTGCTATCAATGTTCTTAGACAATAAAACGTTGCATCTTCAAACTTATTAGAAACCTTCGTAGAACTTTCACAAACCATTTAAAGTCGATTCGATTTAATGTAGTGTAAATTTGTTTGCTTGGATTAGTTAAAAATTATATATTATTTTGACAAATAGTTATAATTATAATGGATTGTTTTAATAATTAGTTATACAAAATAAGTTTTATATTTGGATCTGTCAAGTGAAAAGTGATTTTAAAATCATTTATTGTATTTAGATTATATAAAAAAACAATACTTATAATGAAATTAAAAAATATATAAATCATATATAATTATTGCTTTTGTATTTAAAATAGTTAAATATTGATGAGAAAATGTAAGTTAACTGAAAAATAAGTTAATAGTTTTTAATTATAAACTCTAACATTTTATTTATTTGAATAAGTTTTTGTTATATAAAATACTTAATCAAATATCACAAACTGTTTTTTAAAACATTGCTCATAAGATAATTCTCAAATAAGTAATTATTTTATTTTATTTTACGTCCTAAAGACATGTTTGTTTTTGTTATAAAAATATATATTTTTTAGTTTCATCTTAAAAGTAAAATAAATAGTGATTTTAGAATTCACAGTGAGTAACCGTTATTTAGAGATACTAATACTTAATGGACACGTATAAAAATTACTAATAATATCGGAAAATTTTTCATCGGTTTTGTGGGTATGAGTACGAATATACACATTATAGTATTTCATACTACCATATTATCATATAATAATTATTTATCAAATTAAGAAATTTTATTTGTAATACTTACAATTAAGAGTTGAGTTATCTCTAAATATTTTTTTATGGGTTAGGTTATATGCCGTACTTTAATCAATTTTTTTTATATTAGTTGTTGATATAATTACATTAGTGTTTATTTATTTTTTTACTAGTTTGTCAAATTAATGCATTACTGGAGATTATATACAAATTAACAAAAATGTGAGTATGAAGATACGACAATTGAAATTATCACTCATCTGAATATTGTAGTACCCAATCTTTTTTTAATAATTAATACTGTTTATTGTTTTTATTAAATTCGCAAAAAGCATTACAAAACACAGTCTTTGTTTTTTAATCTCATATATAATATAAACAAATGATAAAGACCTCCTTTTTGGGTCAAACAAACAAAAAAAAACTTCAGCGGGTCGTGTTAGATAACCATTATCAGCGGCCACATATGATATCTTTCAACTCAGCCCAAAACACATTCCAACACTACTACTAAGCCCGCAGCAAATTTTGGAGGGCCCAAAAGAAATTCTTCATTATTTAAATACAACCTAAACATCATTAAATTTGTAAATCACATTTGTTTAACTGTTAAATTTATAAAATCATCATTGTAATATTTAATTTTATAAAAAATTATTATTTTAATATAAGACAATAATAAAATAAAACATTAAAATAGATAACATTTTGTAAAGTTTTAAATTAAAACATAAACTTACCAAATTAATAATTAAAGTTATTAATTTAATAATTAATAATTAAATTTATTAACAAAAGTTAGTCCGAGTGACAAGTAACTTAGTACTACTTAAGTAAAGTTTCAAGACTAAATATTTATAAACTTAAATATTAAAATAAAGATTTATTTAATACTTACAACTACATATTTTTATTAACTTTAAATGATTACATGCTTATTTTTAAAAAGGAAAAAAATAGGGTGTATTAGCAAATTTTTATCCATAAAATATTTTAAATAAAAGATGTACACATAAGACTAAACAAATTTAAATATGAAATTATTATTATTATTAATCGTTCTGTAATGGGATGCATGCAACACGTCAAGTTGGGGTAATAGGCGTAACGGCTAGAGGGACGGAAGCTGACGGAGAGAAACGACGATAGTATAGAAGAGAAGAAGGCCAAAGGAAAGAAAGCAAAACAAAGAAACATCGAAAGTAACGAAGCGAACCAACCAACAAATAACAATCCTCAACAAACAAAAGCTGCTTTTACTATAAAGACCTATTTGTCTCTGTGTCACTCATTTCCAACACCCACACACACACACACACACAAACACTTCGTGGTTTCCGTCCTCTGTTCTCTTCTTCCTCCTCCAACTTCAGATCTCTCCAATGGCCTCCATTGCTGGAACCTCCTTCTCCATCTCCTCACTCAACCAAACACTGGTAATTCAAATCCCTCCTCTCTCTATCATTTTTCTTATCTCATCATCTTTGATCCGTTGAAGCATACTCCAGCCGTTATTTTTTATGGGTGCTTAAGTAGTACATGCGTGAGATTCATTGGATGAATTTACCTGTTGCTTTGTCTGTGTTTTTGGTTTAATTCACTGGAATGAAATACTGCTTAATCTCAACTTGGATGCTAAATATTCGTCTTTTCTGTACAATATAGTTAATTTCAATGTTATATGTTTTTATATCTGTTTGGTTTGGAGATATATACGTTCTAATGAAAGTGACAATTTATTGTTCTTGTTCCCAAAATAGAATCGGATTCATCATATATGACGTGGGAGATTTCGTTCTCCTACTAAAATTTACACTCTATTCATCTATTGTTGAGAAGTCATGCTTATGTAATTTTTTTTTTTGTGGCCATAACTGTTGTTATATAGCACACGAACATGCTGCAACATAATCTCATCTTTGAATTGCAACATCGTTGTAATTTTGTGACAAATTTTGTTCGTGCCTCGTGACAAACAAAAGAAAATTAACCTCGTCTATGATATTTCGTGGCTCTCATTGTTTTTCTTATTGGATGCAAAAACAGGTACCTGGTACCAGGATCTCTAACCCACGTTCCCTTTCCCTATCGATTAAGGGGAAGAAGTTTCCATCTATTACGTTGCAGCCTAGAGTACCTCGGTTTCAAATTACTTGTGCAGTAAGTCTTTCGCCACGCTTCAGTGTATTTATCCACGTCTCATCGTTAAACAATATGTGATGTTTGGCCTGTAGTTGTCATTTTCTTATAACTGAGTTCAGAATGAGGGGATTGCTTTTGCACCACATATCTTATTATCTTTCATTCTGCAATATCAATTCAATCAAATGATTATAGAATTGATTGGATTGTCACTAGTCCATGATAAATGCTGCTGGTTTGTTGTTATCTCTTGACAAATATCTTTTCTGTTGGAATTATCGATAGCTGTGTACTTGCAATTCTCAATTCATTCTGTTACTGAGGTCATGAAAATAACCAGCATTTATTTTACTATTTTGATCAGGCCAAACCAGAAACAGTTCAGAAGGTGTGCGACATAGTCAGGAAACAATTGGCAATACCAACTGAAAACCCCGTCACTGGAGAGTCCAAATTTTCTGCACTTGGAGCTGATTCTCTTGACACAGTATGATAGTATTTATAAATTATATATATGAACTATTGTCTTGGTATTATTGCAAGTCAAATATTAATAATACTTAATTGTATATATTGTCATTTTATTTTTACTTTCCCTTGTATCTACTGTCACAATACTTATGATTCACTGTTTTCCACAAGTGCATGCCCTTGTAATTATTACCTCTTGGGTTGTAGTTGCTATTTGTTTTAGCCATTCTAGTTATTATAAGTCCAAAAACCATTCCTTGTTTTGCCGTTCTTCTCTCTCTATCTGCTTGTCTAAAGTGACAGCGGAATAAGATAATGTTTAAATTTAGAAAACAGTGAAGATTTGGCATAGCACTTGCAGTGGTTTAAGTTATCATACTGTGGAGAGCATCTTTTCTTAGGCTGTTAGTTTCCCTTCAAGTGCTTGTTTGTTAGCCAAAAAAGCAGATATCATTACGCTGCCTTTCATACTGCCGTTGTGACTGGAAACATATAACACACTAGAAATTGGGTACATTTTGTGTCTTACTTGATAATTGTTGTGTCCTTGAAAGAATGCGTCTAGTTATTTGAGCAAATTAGTTTTATTTTTTTCCCTTAGTTGTCTTGTTTTTTTAGTCTATATCATGTTCTTAGAGCAACATTTTGACATAATGTATTTTTAGTCTACATGGAATAATTTAACAAAAATGATTCTTGACTTCCGTTTAATTTTTTATCTAATGTCATAACCTCTTCCACTTCACCATCTATGTATCACTTGAGCTCCCAAAATGACATTTTTGGCACGATTCTGCATGTGAGAAAACTGAGACAACATTTGTCATTTACATTTTATAATGTTTTGCTTGAATATTTAGACTCAGCATTACAAATTTCGTGCAGGTTGAGATTGTGATGGGACTCGAGGAGGCATTTGGCATTAGCGTGGAAGAAGAAAGCGCCCAGAGCATTACCACTGTGCAAGAAGCAGCAGAGATGATTGATCAGCTTCTTGAAAGCAACAGTGCTTAAACAAGGGAAGAGAACATACATACGAGTCATGACATTTTAGTTGTTTTGGTGAAAGGGGATTATAATTTTATCTTTGGTATTTCAGTTTGATTGCTCTTCAAGTAACTGCTAAATCATTTATGAACTCCCCTAGGACTGCTGTAATCTAGTTTTATTTATATACAACTCACGACTCTTTCTTTTACTGTTAAATCAAATAGTGAAATTTGTTTTTCTAATTTTGTGTTTCCTTTGCTGAGACTTCAGTGTTATTTTCACTCTCCCAATTCCAAGGGGATTGTAATTCAATTGACACTACTAGCACAAAGCTTTTAAGATTAAGAGTAGTGTATGATGATGTGGAAGTTTTAGTCTTCTACAATGTCATGTGTCTCCTTTTCTCAGTGTGATATTCTTGTATGCTCAAGCATATCCTTCATTCAATACATGTCATTTATTAGTTTTATGGGCTCCTTGCCTATGTTCAAGGTTAGATGTGTAATATGTTTGTGGAGGAAGAAATTTTCTTCGTGGAGATTACAACTATAAAAACTTCTCTCAAGTGCTTGGATGGATGCTTGGCTATAAAACTGGTACCTGTTTAAAATTAGCTCTAAAGATAAATGGTGACAAAATCAAATTTTAAAACAATAAAAACTTAGAGATTAGCAAGTCTTAGACATTTGAAAGTAATGTGAATGCAAATTATGTGAAACAATTCTTTTCCTGAAACACTTTTTTGAAAACGTTTGATGTTTTGGTTTTTTATTTTTTGGGAAAAGTGATAGTATGTAGAGGGAAAATTATTAAATAAATTTTGAAAAATAAACGTAATAAAACATGTCTTTAATTGATGAAATTTACAAATGATTGGCCTATCAGTCCAACCAAAAACCAAATCACTGAGGTCACAAAGTTAACATTTGATAGAATTAATTTGTATTCGTTGAATGTAATTGGGATGTATGTTATAAGAACTTTACGGATTATGTCACATTGAGGTAATGTGAGAATTGAGAAATTTGTGTGACAAACTTGTATAATTTTTGTATCTATCTCTTTCATGAAAATATTAAATCAGTGAGATTTTATAAGAAAATAAAAAAGAGAGGTAAATATAAATCTTGTAAATAACTAGTCACTTTACACAAGAGGATCTCTCTTATTAAATGGTCTTGAAATCTTGTAAACAAATTTTTACTTGTTTAGTTCAAATATAAATTTTGTAAACATCCTCTCATGTCACATCAGACGATTCTCTTTTGTTAAATGCTGTTGAAATCTTGTAAACAATTTTTAATTTATTTAATTTAAATATTTTGGCCAAATTGTTAATAAGTCTCAGTTATTTTATAAAAATTACTAAAAATGTTAATTTGAGGTTTAAATACATGTCATTTGCATTCAAAGTGAACCATAGGACTAGATATGTGAACTGATTTAGTTTGTCCATATCTAATTCTTCAATCCTTCAAGTATATATATATATATATATATATATATATATATATATATATATATAAATCACACATACTCGTAATTAGATTAACTCATTTCGATATTAGATTGCACATTTTTTTCTTGCATATAAACTGGTTTTGTGGTGCACTAGAGTGATTTACAAGCTAATCTAAATTTTTTTTTATATACTTAAACATGCTTTTAATATTGATGTAATTAAAATAGGTTGTAGTTTTTTTAAAAAAGTATTTATTAAATTTTGAGTCTCATAAATTTTAAAATAAATCTTATAATCACATAACGATGATATATATTCAAGTATTATTGTGTTAGCAACTATTATTTGAATGTGGCATTTATTATATATTTTTTCAATGTCACATAAGATTTGTAGGTCAAGAGCTTATTCAATGCTGTAGTTTTATTAATTATAAATAGAATAACACAACCTAACATATTTAATATATAAAACATCATATTATCAGGTTGTATGACGTGCATGGTTTTTATTAATTACTTTGAACAAACAAAATTTGCTTTAATGTAACTAAATAAATAAAATAAGAGTGCAGTAAAAAATAAAATAATATTAGTTTACATTATAACTTTAGTTCTTTCAAATGTTTTATGAAAAGCGATAGTTAAAAATAAGAACACTTTTAATAAATATTAAAATTTAAAATAACTAAAAACAACTTATTATCAATAATAATTAAAAATTTTATGCTTATTATATCATTGTGCACTCAATTTTTGTTATTTTAAAATGTATTTACAAATTACAGTTATTTTAAATAAACAATAAAATAATAAACTTTTTAATATATATTTTTAGATGTTAAATTCATAATGATACTTTATTGTTTAACAATAATTTTTCTAATGCAATCATTTATTTCCTTAACAAATATATTATATTTAATTAAATTATTATTAATTTTTATGCTGTGATTATTTAATACAATCTTTTTATTAAATTAGTTATATATTACATTTAATAAGTTCAATATTAAACATCAACGTGTGATATAATATTTGTTATTAAATTAGGTATATAATGTATTTGATAAATGTAGTATTAAACATTAATATATACTCGATTTTACTTATACGTTGACAGATATATATAAAAATAGATCTTAAACTAATAACTTCGGGACAAATCATTAGTACAATGGATGGAGGATGTAATTTCAATAGTATTTTACATATTATCTTAAGTTTTCTTTGTTTAAAATTTATAAAATAAATTGTCATGTTTTTTTAAATACACAATTTAAATTAATTTAATACATTACAATTATATTCAAGAGTGTATATATATATATATATATATATATATATATATATATTATTTTATTTTTTTAATTTTATTTTTGTTCTTATTTTTTGTTTGGTAATTTCATTTAGAGGGAAGCCTCAAGTTCACACGGGAAAAGGAGCCAAACTTGTGCGAGTTTTTTAGGGCCGCGTTTGGGGCGCACTTCATTTTTCTCAATGTTACTGCCAAAAGGGTCGGTTTCATCTTCATAGCGTGAGATTTTGCGACTTCGCTGTGACTGTGTGTGTCTATGCAGATAGCTAACATCGCTTCACTTCTTGGACTTTCCGAGGCTCTCTGATCAGGTCATTATTCCTCTTTGATTCTCAAGCCCTCCGTTTTGCCAATTGAATCTCTCTCGCCACAAACCCAATTTCTAAACTCCATCCACTTTTTATTTTTCGCCAATTTATTGGGGTCTTATTTAGATTCCTCGATTTCTAAGGTCGCCGTGTAGAGCTACAGCTGCTTCAGCTCCCATTTAAAGCTTTTAGGGAATTCTATGTGTTTGGCAGTGTTAATCGATGTTTGCCTGTGTTTTATCCGAGATATTAGTGGAAAGGCGAGGTTTTTCCTTCCGGGTTTTGCTTTTGGGTAATGAAGGAAAATGGGGTTATTCTTTGTGATTATGGATTTGGGGATAATTACCTCGTATCTGGTTTTGAGAACTTTAAGGTGCGGTACGTGGAATAAGGTAGAAAATTGGGAGCTGTTATTTTCTTTTGCCAATGGTTATGTATATTCCTTGATATGGCTATATATCTTTTGATTGCTGTCTCAGATACTAAAACACTGTTCCGTTGTTTCATGTATTTACTTAATTAATTATTTTTCCTTTAATTTTCGGAAGATTGTCATAAAGGCTTGCCTGCCTGTGTTTGTTTAAGTGCTATTGGCACTGGAATTCTGTTATGTCTCTATGTTGTGGTTGGTCATATGATCACTGTCATTCGTTGGTTCACATGATTAGCTTAAAATGACGCATTGGCTATACTGAAATTTCCAGCTGGTCTGGGTTTATCTTGATATGACACTCACAATATTTTGCTTGTGCAGTTCAAATGAGATGGCCTCTTCACATAATGTTGAGTTGGAGGCGGCAAAGTTTCTGCATAAACTTATTCAAGATTCTAAAGATGAGCCAGCTAAGCTGGCTACTAAACTCTACGTGGTGTGTGTTGTTTTCTCTCAAAAGAAACATTTTGATTGTTTTTTTCCTGCATATGAAAGACTAGGTAAACTTATTAATTTGATGAATGTTTTTCAGATACTGCAACATATGAAATCAAGTGGGAAGGAACATTCAATGCCATATCAAGTGATATCAAGGTAAAATTTCAGCAACTTAGCACTCAAACTCATCCATTTGTAGTTGTTAAATTGTTTAGCCCTGCTCTTGTATGGTGAGCTAAGCTAACAAAATTGAAAATCTGTTTCTGATTGTCTTCACCAGGACACATGAATACTTTTCAACTTTCCTTTCATGGCAGTTAAGATATTAGCTAACACTGTCATTTGTGTGATTGAAAATGTAATAATTAATTATTCACGGGAAGTTTGAAATGGTTGGTTAAATGCACACGTGTGGTTTGATGAATGGTGAATGATTTTGGGCTTTGTTGTCTCTTTCCAAACAGAAAAAAGGTTGGATTTGTTTTGTGTAATTTGGCTTGAGTAATATATGCTTGAAACCAATGCCTGTATCCCATGTAAATACTTTTATTTAATTGACTTTGCAAATGGATGATAAACTATTAAACTTAATTCTCATGTTATTTATGAGGCTAATCTTGTAGACTTATTTTTGTTTGTGGTGCCTTAGTGATTGCCATGAAGCTTATACTTATCATTCTTAGCACTGGACCATAGTTTTTTAGTGTTTGTAATTTAACCCAATATTTGGTTTCATGCATATTGCTTTTTCTTCTGACTTCTTGTCTGTTAAAGGGCAATGGAGACTGTCATCAACCAACATGGTCTTGATATTGAAGCATTGAAGTCATCACGTCTTCCTTTGACTGGTGGTCCTCAAATAGGTAATTATACATGTTTGCATATTGCTGAAAGGATATTTGTGATATTTTTTCTGCGATTTTGATTCCATTGTTTGGTAATTTATGCAGGATCTTCTTCACAGGCAGTGGGTGTTACAAAAGATTCCAGAGCAGGCTTAGCTGAGAATGAGATGTCCAAAATGGATGCCTTTGCTTCTGGCAGGCCACCAGTTGCCCCGAGTGGTGGAGCACCTGATTATTATCAAGGATCTGTGGCTCAGAGGAGTAGTCAGTCTTTTGATCAAGGAAGTCCATCTAGTTTGGATTCTAGGTCTGCTAACTCACAGTCACAAGACAGACGTGATACTGCCAATTGGGACAAACAGGTGAATCAAAAGGATGGCAAGAAAGCTACAACAAAGAGAAAGAGGGGAGATACATCATCACCTGTGGAAATGCATGTTGACAGTCCTTCTCAGCTGGATACTCGCAATAGTGGTGTTAATGCAAGGAAGGGTAAAATGGCCAAGGCTGAATCATCTGATGGTCTTTCAGTTAAAAGTGGTGAACTGACCAACTTTAACATGGCTCCAAATAGTGGTCAAACTGAGAATGTTGCAACTTTGTCTGGTAGCATGAGAACAATGCTTAGAGCAAATCAAGAAGGTCATCATTTATTGGCCAAGCAAACTGATTTGACAAAGATTGGCAACCAGATGGTGCGAGCACCAAATTCAAAGTATGCAGAAGACACAGAAGTTTCCTCTGCTAACCTTGCTTCAGGGAAGCAGCAAGGTGGTTCCTTACCTTCTATACATGAGATTATAGGTGTATGTAATAAAATAAAGCTGGATTATCTTTTGAAAAATCTCTGGTTCCCTGAATTTAATCATGGTAATATGATGATAGAAATTCCAATCAATGCACCAGTTAATGCCTACATCCCTTGGCTAAAGCAAGGTTTAAAAAATTTTCAACCATAAGTCATAGTATAACTTCATCAAACTGTAGTTCTGGGGTTTTAGAACTGCAAACAATTTGGAATATTTATACTGAAATGCAATGCCTGATATTTGAATGGTGAACAAAAGACTTTCTAGAAGAGCTTATTCATAAATGTAATAATTGGAAGGGAAGAATTAACCTCAGTAAAGGTTTTCTTTAACACTAAATCCTATATCAGGAATAGCCGTTCCTAAATTATTTTCTTCTATGCTTTTGGATACTTCGCCATAATTAGATCATTATAGGGAGAATGACTGAGGAAATATCAGTTTTTCTTAGAATTAGATGCTACCGAAGAAAAAACAACTATAACTTTGAATTTCCTGAACACAGTGATTGACTCAAAAATTAAAATTGAATTTCAGGTGCTTATGCAAAGGTTCATGGAGGGATGGTGGTTCCAGCTGGTGCATCTTCAATTTCCGAACCAGTTTTCTCAAGTTCAATGCAATATGGTGGTGCATTTGAGCGTGAGGGGGGAAGTTCAACCACTTTAACTGATGGACATAAAATAGCTCAGGTACATGCTATTCACTACTTTTTTGCTTCTTGGTTTGCCTCTAAGCTCTAATTTTTTTTCCCACCTTGCTGTACTTATCTACCAGTGCTTTAAAACTTATTTTTGTAGTTCTCTTTTGACTATGTGGTGTATATAGTCAACTTGATTGCTTGACCTGATAATTGTATCGACAGATTGGCAGGCAAAATAGTGGGTCAGAAATGACCATGCTTAGACAAGGTGTTCCTCCTAGAGATACAGGAAAATCCACTGTTTCTGCCATGCCTTTCAAAGAACAGCAGTTAAAACAGCTTCGAGCTCAGTGCCTTGTTTTTCTAGCATTTAGGTAGATTGTGCTGCCATCACCTTTTGGATTCGAAAAAATGGAGTTAATTATATTTTTGATGTGAAACTTTGTTTTTCATTGTGCAGAAATGGTTTGGCACCAAAGAAACTGCATCTTGAAATTGCACTTGGAACTGCCTTTTCTAGAGAAGGTAACTGATGGGTATATTTGATTTAACATATTAAAGATCTTCATTGACTAACTAGTGAGCAATGTGATGGTAATACAGATGGTTCTCGCAAAGATCTAATTGACCACAAAGGAAAATCACAATCTTTTAATGAACTGGGTAACACATCTGGGGTCATGATGCCATTTGGAGGTCCAAGCAATGTGAGACAGACAGATAAAAACCCTTCAGGGTCCTCTTCAGCTGGCAAAATTATTGAGGCTGACCCTTTGTCAAAGGGAACTGAGAGCCCAAGAATGTTGGAGGACAAAGGTAACCTGCAAGTCACAAAAAGAGGAGAGGTTGAAAGACGAATTCAAGAAAGAGTGGCTGGACAAGCTTCTTCAGCCACTTCATCTCAGCAGCAAGAATCTTCTGGTACAAAGGGTGCAGTAGTTGGTAATAATCATTTGGATGATGTTGACAATGGTAATCTGCTGGTAGGAAGGTCTAACCAACCTTCTGTTGTAGGCCTGAATAGCTGGGCTGGTTTTTCTGGTTCTAATGAGGCTTCAAAGGGACCTCCACCGATGTCTACTATTCAACATGAGTTGCCTTTAGAAAGAAGAGAGAATATTCCTAGTCAGTTTCAAAATGTTGGTAACAATTGTGGTTCAAGAAATCACAATTCTGTAAATCCCTTGGCTTCTTATTCTTTAAAAGAGCACTGGAAACCTGTTCCAGGGACAGACAATGATCTTCATGGAGCAAGCATGATGAAGGATGGAAGTGTGATGATGAAACATGTTTCTCAAGGTGACAGTTGTACAGAATAAAACCGTGTTATTTGTAATTAGTTCTGTGATGCGTATGTTCTCTGTGTTATTTGAAGTGTCAATAATTGATGGCTTTCTGAATATTTATTGTGCTTACTTGCACATGGGTTCAAAACAGTTCCAGTTGATAATGCATCTAAACATGGTTGTTTTTTTGTTACAGAGCAAGAGGGGAACGAGAGGTTGGTATCAGGCGATTTACCACCTCCCAAATATACAATGTCAGAGAAATGGATTATGGATCAGCAGAGAAAGAGGCTTCTAGTTGAGCAAAATTGGGTACAAAAACAGCAAAAAACAAAGCAAAGAATGGCTACATGTTTTCACAAGTTAAAGGTTTGTTTTAATTTTAACTGGCTATTTTTCTAGTTTAGTGCTTAATCTGTTCTCCATGCATATTCAATTTATTTTGCATTTCACACACACTATGTTTTGCATAAACGTCATTGCATATGCTTCATTCCCTGTATTGTAGGAAAATGTGAACTCCTCTGAAGATATTTCTGCCAAAACCAAAAGTGTCATTGAGTTGAAAAAACTTCAATTATTAGAGCTCCAGCGTCGTCTTCGGAGGTAATTCACATTTTTATGTAAATAAGTTTATTGTCTTGGATTATCAATTTGACAATATATTCTCCCTTTCTGAACAGTGATTTTCTGAATGATTTTTTCAAACCAATTGCAACCGAGATGGAACATTTGAAATCAATTAAGAAACATAGGCATGGTAGGAGGGTCAAACAACTTGAAAGGTTTGAACAGAAAATGAAGGAAGAGCGTCAGAAACGAATTCGGGAGAGGCAGAAGGAGTTTTTCAGCGAGATAGAGGTTCACAAGTATGTGCACTTTCTGTCCATTTCTATCTGCTTTTTCCACCTCATTTTGTTTTTCCAATGTATTGTAGTATATAACAATAAGGAAGTGTTCCCTTACACCTTGCCTCAAACATACGCATTTTTTACTTCAAATCTAGGGAAAAACTTGATGATGTATTCAAAATCAAGAGGGAACGGTGGAAGGGTTTCAATAGATATGTGAAGGAGTTCCATAAAAGAAAAGAACGTATTCATCGTGAGAAGATTGATAGAATCCAGCGGGAAAAGATTAATCTGCTGAAAATAAATGACGTGGAGGGCTATCTTCGAATGGTGCAAGTATGTTTATTTTCTTATTATCTATAAATTGATACAGGGTTTGTATATGCATGCTTAATATGATCTTCAATGGTACTTTAGGATGCAAAATCAGATCGTGTAAAGCAACTACTTAAAGAGACTGAGAAGTATCTTCAAAAGCTTGGTTCCAAGCTACAGGAAGCAAAGGCTGCAGCAGGACGTTTTGGGCTGGATGTTGATGACACAGGAAATGTCAATTTTCTTGAGAACAGTGAAACAGAAAATGAGGATGAAAGTGATCAGGCAAAGGCAAGTTTCCTTCGCACATCTCTTTCTTGTGTTTGAATTTTAATTCTTTAATGTGTTACTCATTTGTTCCAATTCTGTTGTACAGCATTATATGGAAAGCAATGAGAAGTATTATAAGATGGCTCACAGGTATTAGTTCTGCACTTTCATAATCTTTAAAAGATTTCTTGGTGCTGTAGGTGGTGTATCTTATACTTCTGCTATCAAATAAGGGATCAACAGCATGGATCACTGGGATGTTTTAATGGTTTAGTTTTAGTTCCAAAGTTTCAGAAGTGTTCATGTTGATTGCTTCAGTTAATCCATAAATATGTTTGTGAAATTTCTTCTGTGTTGAGTAGCCAATCTGCTTCATTCTAAGGTTTTGTTTTTCATTTTTTTTCCTGCAGTATAAAGGAGAGCATTGCAGAGCAGCCATCTTGTTTGCAGGGAGGAAAATTGAGGGAGTATGTTAAATATTTTGCTTTTTTATAATAAATTGGTCTACACTTATGTTTTTGTCTTGCAATGGAGATCCAAGTTTTTTTATTGCATTTTGTTAGTGGTAGGGTTATTTTTGGTAATTCTGCATCATCTTTGTCTGAGGGGGGATTTTATCCTTCTCTCTTTACATTCTTTTTGTCAGTTTACTTAAGTGTTTTACCAGAGTTTGGACCTTCATTCCTTTTATTGGATATGTGGACTTATATTTATTCTGGTTGCAATTTTTGTCTTTAGATATCAAATGAATGGCCTGAGGTGGTTGGTTTCCCTATACAACAATCATTTGAATGGAATTCTGGCTGATGAAATGGGACTGGGTAAAACAGTGCAGGTAGTGAATTTTGTTAATTGAAGAATGTAATAAACCTAGCTGGATTCTTTTTTTCTTCCGTTTTTTCTTTTTTAATTATTAGCATTTTTGGAGGGTATTGTTTATGGTCTTTATCCTATCTGGATAATTTTTGCTTTTTGGGGTTTTACAATTATTACTGTAAATGTATACATGTTAAATATCATAAAAACATTTTTTGCAATAAAAGATTGGAAGGATTTTTGTATCTATGAAATCCTAATGCCCCTTTTTATAGGTTATTTCTTTAATTTGCTACCTGATGGAAACAAAAAATGATAGAGGACCATTTCTTGTGGTGGTGCCCTCTTCAGTTCTACCTGGTTGGGAGTCAGAAATAAACTTCTGGGCTCCTGGTGTTCATAAAATTGTCTATGCTGGACCGCCAGAGGAGAGACGTCGGTTATTCAAGTAATTTAACTTTAGTATATCTACCCCCTTCATCTATTTGATGCTTTTGTTTTGGTGTATGTTCAATATCATAATTGATGACATATGATTGTTCACCAGAAATTCAATGTTCTTTCGTATTTTAGGGAAAGGATTGTTCATCAGAAATTCAATGTCCTTTTGACGACATATGAATATTTGATGAACAAGCATGATAGACCAAAGTTGAGCAAAATACATTGGCACTATATAATAATTGATGAAGGCCACCGTATAAAGAATGCTTCTTGCAAGTTAAATGCTGACTTGAAACACTATCAGAGCTCTCACAGATTGCTGTTAACTGGAACACCATTGCAGGTTTTTTCTTTTTTCCCTTCAGTTTTTCTTTCTTGTGGCTTACATTGCAGTTTACTTTGCATTTTTGTTTGTAGCATTTGAATTTGTATATAATCTTTTTCAAACATATACATATGCTTCTTCTTGGGAAACACTGAGATTCTACTCAGCCCTTATTGCAGGCTCATTCTCTGTCCTTTGTTTCCCTTTTATATGATTTATGATTTCATTGTTTTATAATTTATATTTATATGTAGAACAATCTTGAAGAACTATGGGCACTCCTTAACTTTTTGTTACCAAACATATTCAATTCATCAGAGGACTTCTCTCAATGGTTTAACAAGCCATTTGAGAGTACTGGAGATAACTCACCTGATGAAGTAAGTTTTGGATCATTTCTGTTTATATCTATTAAATTTACACAATCTTGAGTTCTAATTTAAACTTTTTTGATTTTTGTGTACTTATTGTGTTGTTTTCTATTTATAAATAGGCCTTATTGTCGGAGGAGGAGAATCTCTTGATCATAAATCGTCTGCACCAAGTTTTGAGACCATTTGTACTTCGGAGGCTGAAACACAAGGTTTTTTATACCCAACATTAAGCTTTTTAAAGTATAATTCCTATTCCTAGAGTTTTCTGTATACCTTGACCAGAGTTTTATCTTATCAATATACTTATGTGGCTTATAATTCTTGTTTTTATTCTTCTAATCAATATTTCTTTCTTAGTATTATGTGAAATGAAGCTATGTATAATATGGCACATTCATGTGTTATCTCAATGTACTACTTCTTCATGCATATATTCATAAATTGTAATTTTTTTTTTTGAGATCTTAATTTCTCTGTTTGTCTTCATGCACATTCCCTAAAAGGTTTAGCAGTATGTTTTTACTGAAGGCAAGGCAACATAAAGCACAATTCATAAAATGAATTATTTTTAAGTTATCAGAATTTTGATGAATTTCTTGTCTAATTTAGAATTGGTGTTTTGAATATGTAAAATTGGATGGTTTAATATATATGGAAAAGATGTTCTGTATTATTCAGGCCATCTGATGCTCTTCCTTTTTTGGCCTGTTATCTGACCTTAATGTTTACTCTGTTCATCAATGTAGATGAATCTAAATATGATTTTTGATAAGTGTAATTCAGGGCTTGTTTACTTTGAAAAAATGTTCTGTTTTCATTTCTTGATTTTACATTTTATTTTTAATTAAAAAAAATACCATATTTTCACTTTGTTTCCTGTTTTAAAAAATTTGTTTAGAAAACAGTGAAAACAATAAAAGTTAGTTTTCATTGTTTTCTTTATAAATTATTTGAAAACAGAAAACAAAATGAAAAACAAGATGACATTTTTGTGGTTACAAAAGAAAACTGAAAACGTTTTCTCAAACTAAACAGCCAAAGAGCTTGTCTGTTTTACTGATATATCAGCTTCTGAAATCATCATGTGTTATTCTTGTTGCATTTTCAATTTATTGTAGGTTGAAAATGAGCTGCCTGAGAAGATTGAGAGACTAATAAGATGTGAGGCTTCTTCATATCAAAAACTTTTGATGAAGAGAGTAGAAGAAAATCTTGGTTCTATTGGCTCTTCAAGGGTATTTTTTCTAGTACTTTCTGCTCTGTGTTTAATGATACTTGTTGACCTTTTGACACTGGATGAAAAAGTTATTACCCTCTATCTTCCTTTTAAATAAGGTAGCTTTCATGTATAGTATGCATATATATGTACTTACTCTGGTAGTCTAATTGAAATTCCTAAATTTTAGGCTCGATCAGTACACAACTCTGTCATGGAGCTTCGTAATATATGCAATCATCCGTACCTTAGCCAGCTTCATGCTGAGGAGGTATGTTCATAACTTTTATATCGTTTTCTGACATAAATGTGTATTGTGCGAATTGAATTGTGATTATAACTGCAACTCTCTTAGAAAATGGATTTTATGATATCTAAATTGCAGTGTGAATTGTGATATTTTTATTTTTTGTGAAACTGAAAGATTGAAAAATGCTGTGTTCTATTGTATGAATCATGAATGATCCCTTCATGATCATTTTCTAAATTGGCAAAAGCTGACCAAAAAAAAAATCTTAAAAGTATCAAACAAGGTGGTAGAACTTAAAAACTATAAATTGGTTTGTTATTTACATGTGACTTGACCAGGAATGCTCCTGTTGTGACCTGACAAGGAATTCCAAGGAGATTTGTGGTGGAAGTGGAGGGTTGTGTGTATGAAATGGAGAGATGTAGAGGGAAAAAAATCCCAGCAAGAGTGATTATTGTGTGTATCAGGAGTGAGGTTTGGGTGTTGAGCAGCGGTACCTAGTAATGGTCAATGAGCATACTGAATTGTGTGAACATAGGCAAATAGTTTGGTGTAGGACAAACCACATTACAGTTTTATGTTTATGATGTGATCCTAAACAATAAACAATAACAGAAGCTAAATAGGTGCAATATGGTCTCTGAATGTTAATAAAATCAGTACCCGTAAAAGAAATTATATTGAAGATATCAGAGAAAAAGAGAAGAAAGGAAGGTTATCCAATGTCATAGCATGAAATTGGCCCAGGATAGAGAAGAAAGAGAGACAAAGGAGAATGTTGCAAAATAACCACACCCCAATTTGTCTCTTTCTCTAATCAATATATACTCTCACGATCCCTCTGTGTTGGTGCTCACTTTCCATGTTTTTCGCTTTTCACAAGTGCTGCACCTCAACTTGCCAAATTCTGTTACCGGATCAATAGGATCACACACCACGTGTCCTTTCTCAGCCTCATATTCTTCTGTGCTGCCAGATACTGTATCAGTTTATTTCTCTTCTTCCTATTCTATGTTTGCAGATATGGATACAATGTGAGGTTTATCTATCATTTAATCATTTTCTAAAATGATGCAGCCATAAAGTAATAAAATTCATTGCAAATATAACTTACACTTCCAAAATGGGTGCTTTTAATCTGTCTGAAGTAGTTTACTTTTATTTGACTACATCTGCAAGCGGTCAAGTTTTTTGTAATTCTGTATCTGTTATTCTTTTTACTTTTGGCTACACTCCAATATGACTTTTGCTGTTTGCAGGTGGATAACTTCATACCTAAACATTATCTGCCACCAATTATTAGACTTTGTGGGAAGCTTGAGATGTTGGACCGCTTATTACCAAAATTGAAGGCAACAGATCATCGGGTATGAAATATCCTTTATAATTGTTGCTGAATTACTAGGTTTGACTTCTTTTTTGTCAATATTGACAATTGACGTAAGTTGTGACTGTGAAGTAGTTTGTAAGCTTATTTATCATGCATACTTCTGTTTGTTTAAACCTTAAAATCTAGTTGTCTAGCTACTCTTTTGGATGCTGAATGCATTTGACAGTTCATTTTCCCTTTGCTAAATCTATGAATGTAAACAGGTTCTTCATTTATTCAATTACTTGTCTTCCTATGAATCATTTATTTTGGAAATTTATCTTTTAATGTTTGATATCATACTGTCAATGCCTTTTCAGGTTCTTTTCTTTTCAACAATGACTAGGCTTCTTGATGTTATGGAGGACTACTTAACCTTAAAACAGTATCGGTACCTCCGGTTGGATGGGCATACATCAGGAAGTGATCGTGGTGCTCTTATTGAACTGTTTAACCGACCTGATTCGGCATATTTTATTTTCTTACTCAGGTAATTTTAACTAACATTGCGGTATTAGGTCAATTAAAACATAGAATTGGGGGAAGAAAGAGTTTTTTTTGGGAGGGGGGGTGTTGGTGTTCAGGAAATTTGGCTGAATCCTCTTCTGCTTGTCATCTGTTTAGGACTTAACAAATCAGGTCTACTTCATTTTGTGTGCTTGATTATCTTTAATTTATATTATCTTTTGTATTGCTGACATTCGTCTATTGTAAACAAAAGCATTCGAGCTGGTGGTGTTGGCGTGAATCTTCAAGCTGCTGACACAGTGATCTTATTTGACACTGACTGGAATCCACAGGCAATGAAATTTCTTGTTTGATTTTCTATATAAAATTGTTTGATTTTGTGGTAAAATATTATGATCTCTTTATTTGTCGGTAAATTTTCAGGTTGATCTGCAAGCTCAGGCACGGGCTCACAGAATTGGTCAAAAGCGTGATGTTCTAGTTCTTCGCTTTGAAACAGTTAGTGCTTTTCCCTTTGAGTTGTGGTTTGTCATTGGTTGGACTATTGTTGACAGATTGCACATATGCTATGTTACAGCCATGTGAATTTTTTCTCGATGGAAAAATGTATTATTAAAGAGAATATAAATTTAAGGAAGGTTTAGTTAGGATGTCCACTCCCAAGTTTCAAATATTTGATTTTAAAACAATTTGCCATATTGGAGATAATTATGCTTTGTATTCTACAGTGAAATCTAATAATTAAATAAATATTCAAATTTCATTTCTTGTAAAATGCAACCTCCGGTTGAATGGTGGCCATGATTTCAAATTTGCTTTTTACTGTATTAGGCCTTGTACTTTCTCCCTTGCAGTTATCTTTATTTAGTAGTTTTAAATTTTTTTTATTTGGAAAAAAATAAATTTGGGGAAAATAATCATACGTGCTAGGTGTTTTGCTTTAAAGAGAAGGGAGTACATATTCCATTAGTACTAAACAAATTTTTATTTTATTGATACTTGATTTGGGAGTTATCTTTCCCCATGGAACGTTTTTTACTACTGTTATGGGCATTGCAATGCATGCGTTATTTAATAGGGAGAGGCTGTGGTTACCGGTTAGTACTCGAGTGGAACTTGGTTTAATTTGTACTGCTTTATGCATGACTAATTCTTTTGCGTTTAATTAATACACTTGTTTTGTTTCTTTGGAAAATATATTTATTTTTGCTACCCTAGGGAATTAATTATACATTTTGTGGTCATGATGTTGATATTTTATCCCTTTATTCTGGTGATGGGGGACTGGCTGTTGTTTGTCTTGCAGAAATGTTTAATTTGTACTACATTTAGCTTGTCTGCTTAACTGTTTGAACAATATTTATAGTAGCTTTTAAGTTGTTAATGCTAAACCATTACTATAAATGTAGTGCTATATTTTTGTGTATTCTAAAGTTTCTTCCTCCTGCTTACTACGTTATAAGGTTCAAACCGTTGAAGAACAAGTCAGGGCTTCAGCTGAGCACAAACTTGGTGTTGCTAATCAGAGCATTACTGCTGGTTTTTTTGATAATAATACAAGGTTGGCAATGCTGCAATATTTCTCTATTAGTTTATCACAAACTTTCTCAGTCAGCTCTGAATTATCTGTTGCTTGTTTTTGTTGCAGTGCTGAAGATCGAAGAGAATACCTGGAATCCCTTCTGCGTGAGTGTAAGAAAGAAGAAGTTGCACCTGTTTTGGATGATGATGCTCTAAATGATCTCTTAGCCCGCAGGTATTTTTTTAAATACTTCTACTATCTGTCTATCTATCCACCCCGAGTGTTATCAATAGCAGATTGCAGAAAATGGTGGAAAACAAAAAATCCACCATGTGAAATGGCAGATAGCATTGTGGGCGAATAGCAGAAGTTGCATAGCTGTTGAGATAAACTAGTTAATTATACATAACTTAAGCTGTATAAAAAGATGACATAACTCAAAATTCACTTGCCATACTATATTTTTTAATAGAAATTGAAAATAAAGTATTAGAATTAAAAATATGGCATTTGGAAATAGAACAGAACTTTGAAAAAGAGGAAGAATGAGAAAGAAAAGGGGATAGGAAAGAAACAAAGAGGACAAAAACAGAGGAAGAGAAAGAACACAGAAGGGAAAGGGAGATAAATAAAAATAGAGAGATTGAAAATGGATGATGAAATAGAACAGGACAGAGTAGGATAAGGAAGAAAAAGGAGGAACAGAATAAAGAAACAAGTAATAAAAAAAAAGATGTTGCCACTGAATGAGACTTGCCCATGATTTGTGCCAGATGACAGGAGGGTGAGGATATGAATGTAGGCTGATTGAATACTTGGGGGGGGGGGGTCTTTGATGTAAACAGAGGGTTACCATTTATGTGAGTGGGTGTGAAACTGACAGAGGAGTGCATTACGTGAGCAAAAGGTGATAAAAAACAGTCACGTGCAGTTGCACCCCTGCTGTGACTGTTCATTACAAAAAAAAAATATTGTAATTCCAATGACATCTGCAATGCCCATTACTGCTGTTTCAGCTCCTATCTCCCATTTTGTGGAGTGCAAAATACAATGCATTGTTCGTAGTGGTTTCTTCAAAACTTTGCACACACGATTGTGCTGTTGTGCCACTAAAGGTGCTACTTAACAATACTGGCTGATCTGTCCGCTTATTTTCTGATGAGTCATTGGGTTGTTGAACTTACTCATTCTACTTTCACATATATTTGGAAGTGTCAATTTTTGAGAATGAGAACTTGGTGGGTGCAGTGGTAATTAATGGAAATTCTTGATGCATTTTAATTAATTATAGTAAAATCCTGATGCATTATTGTCATTTTAGCATTCAACCCTGTGCATTGCTGATTTAAGTCAATTCATACTGTTACGTTCTATGTGGAAGCATGGTACTTCAACTGCATGGTGCTATTGTACCTTTTGATTGTTGATAAAATCATGAAGTATTACAAGTGTTTGTCTGTCCATTGTAATTGCATTTAAAATAACCTTATAACTACCTTATAATTCATCTTTTTCCCCATGGTTATTTCTCCTAGCACCCAAATTCTTTGTTAAAAGATAGAAGAAAGAAAAAAAAATTGATGGATATTTTTTTTGGTTGGCAGTGAAACAGAGTTAGATGTATTCGAGGCTGTTGACAAAAAAAGGAAGGAAGATGAGCTGGTATTTATTATCTGCCTGGGCTTTTCATCAGCATACAAATAAATAGCTTTTTACCTGCTGTTTGTTAAATGTAAAACCTCACTGGAATTCCAAAACAATTATTTTGTAGGCTATATGGAAGAAATTGGTGCTTGGACAGGCAACTGATGGCTCTGATCTTCTTCCTCCACTTCCTTCTCGTCTTGTCTCTGATGAAGACCTGAAGCAGTTCTATGAAGCAATGAAGATATCTGATGTGCCTAAGGCTGAGGTAGAATCAAATGGGGTAAAGCGAAAGGGAGGATATCTTGGGGGCCTTGATACTCAACAATATGGCAGGGGGAAGCGTGCAAGAGAGGTTTGTCTATATATTTTATTCTTTTGGATTGTGCGGTCAATTGTATTCCTTGCCTGCTTTCTCCTCTTTTATGAGTATGTTCTGATTAATCATAACTACATATTATGAATTTTCCCTGTGGCTAATCTCGTATAATTTTGATATTCATCACTTAACATGTATAATGCAAAAAACAGAAGAAAAGGAAAAGTAAATTGAAAGTGTACTCATGTACTACTGCGTGTGTTTGATATACTATCTAATTCCTGGTCACCGTGTGCATACTTTTTTAAAGGTACGTTCCTATGAAGAGCAATGGACAGAGGAGGAGTTTGAGAAGATGTGTCAGGTTGAATCTCCAGGTTCACCCAAAGTAAAAGATGTGGCAGAGATGAGCTATCCAACTAATACTTCCAGCTCTGTTGTATCTATTTCTAACTCACAACCTGTGGTTGTGCCTCCAGTTGTCCCAATAGTGCCATCTGTGGAGAGTTTGCCAGTGCAGCAAGTTAAAGAGATAACCCCACCAGCCAAACGTGGGCGAGGAAGACCTAAAAGAATAACTTCAGATAAATCACCAGCAGTGGTGGTCCCTCCAGCAACTTCTGGAGCTGTTGAAATAGACACGCAATTACAAAAAGGAGTTGGATCTGGACATTTAACATCAACTCCTGATTCTGTGGCTCACTCTGCTGAAGTTATAGGTGTGAATGCACCCGTGCAGCATGCTGCTGATACAGGAGTTGCTCCAAATTCACAGCCTGCCATTCCTATGCCTACTATTCTGCCCAATTCTCAGGCATCTCCTGTTTCTGTTTCCATACCTATTCAAGGAAGAGGACAAGGTCGGAAAAGTCATAATGGTGGAGAAGCAATTAGACGTAGAGGTAAGAAGAAGCAGGTTATGATTTCACCTCCTATCCCTGGTGGTTCTGTTGGTCCTGATTTGAAGGTGAACGAGCAACTGGAAGATAAATTAGTGAGTCCTTCTTCAGGTCAAGCTATCTCCCAGAGTGAAGCTGTTCCCAGCTTAGCTGCTGTACCCCATCCACCTACCATTTCAGGTTCTGCTTCTTTGAACAGTGGGAAGGATAATTTTGGTGTTGGAATTGTTTTAAATTCTCAGGCACCCCCTCCTTCGCCTTCTAATGCTGCTTTAGCTCAAACTGCCCCCACTTATCCATCCGTACAGATACAAAGTAAAGGACAAAATCAGAAACCACAGAATGGAGCTGGAGTTTCCCGGCGTAGGGGGAAAAAACCAGCAACAATATCAGCTCCAGTTCCAGATGTTTTACATCAGGATTCGCATCAAACTTCTAATTTACCAATTTCATCTGGCAGTATATCAGGTGATAATGCCACTGAAGTAAAAAGCTTGCAAGAGAACAATTTTCAAGAATCAAAATGTTCTATCCAGGATAAAACATCACAGAGCCTAAGTGACCAGGATTTAAAATCAATGGCAGGATCAGATGATTCTGCCAAGCAGACGGTGATATTGTCTCCATCTCAAGATTGTACCATCAAATCTCCAGGTGAATTGTGCACTGCAGTATTTAAGTTCTTAACATCTTTTCATTTATTTTAGAAAAGATCTTGGATGTTAACTCTGGAATTTTTTATTTTTTTTGCAGAGCAAGATTTTGAGAAGGTTAAGAATCCTGATGTTCATGATTCTTCTGTGAAGGTTGGTAATTCTTCTGAAATCACCTCATCAAAAAATGAAGTTTGCAATGACTCTGGGGATGGGAGTTCATTTGTCACAACATTGCCTGTTGCTGAAGTAACAAAGGATCAACCTTCCAGTGGCCAAACTCATCATCAAACTGTTGAAACTTCAAAAACCTTACCTTCAATTGTTGGTACTCCCACTAATTCCTTGGCTGGTAGTGAAACTACAGAAAGCATTAGTAAGTCTTTAGATCCTGTGACTCCAAAGATTGTCCCTAGTACAGTAGGCACTACTTATCCTTCCGTACCAGGCTCTGAATCTACTCATCCAGGCTCAATTGAATCCATGCCAGCCAAAAGACAAGGTCGTAAAACTCAGAATAGAGTGGAGCCACCACGGCGAAGGGGGAAAAAATCTGCTACAGTGTTAGCAGTTGTTCCTGATGCTATTCCTGCTCAGGATCCTAAGTTAAGTCATCAGGCACCAAATTCATCAGGGGATTCTTTGGTTGGTAAAGCCACTACAAATGTTACTCAAACCCAAGCATTTGAGATCCTTTTACCCAGTGGAGTAGTTAGTCATGATTCAAAAAGAAAAGAGAGAGCTACCAATTCTACCCAAAATAAGCAACCGAAAGTTGCATCAACAAGGACTAATGGGGTGCCTATATCCTCAGATAAGATTGCTGCTTTTGGCCGAATTAATAATGTCAATGATGTTGCACGGGCAATGAAGGAAGTTTTCTCTGGAACTTGCTTGCCAAAGCCTAAAGCTGACGATTCTGCTCGGAGTGAAGATAGGAACACACCTTTTGTACATGCAACCACTAAAGCTACTGTGGGTGCCTCCAATAACCAGAGTTTGGGGGATAAAGTATGTTCTGATGTAGCAACTACTGGGGCCACATGTCTTACTTCAAATTTTGCTGTGAATGTTCCTGAAAAACAGTCAGAAGTGGCATCCAATATGCAGGATCTGGAGGGACAAGCAAGTTTAGATATGCAATCTACTGGAGAACTGAACCTGAAATGTGATGATAAAGAAAAGGCTGAGCTGACACAGCAATTTGTTGAAAGCTCAACTATGCAGGGTAAAACAGAAGCTCTTGATCCAACTCCTAATGCTGCCTCAAGTTTTGGCCCCACTGATTTAAATAGTGAGACTTCTAGCCGTGAGATGTGTTCATCTATGGTCACTTCTGGTGCTGAACCTCTTGTGGTAATTGACGATAAACTTGGAAACCAATCTGAATCTCCAGAGAATTGTTCAAGATCTCCCGTTGCTGTTGGTGGTACAGGATGCCCATCAACTCCATTGGAACCAAAAACTTTAAGTAATAATCCTGAAATCAATCAGGCTGATACCTGCGCTCATAGTCATCCATCAACAAGCAAACCTGACATTACAGAACGCATTTCTAATGAACAATTGGAGCCTTCAGAACCATCTCTAAAATTCTCATCTCTTGCCTGTTGTGATGAGTCTGGGTTATTGGTTCAGACTGAAAATTTGGGTGATCAAGCACAAGTGACCCCATCTAGTCCTGCAACAGATCCTCAGCCAACAATAAAGAGAGTTTCTAGTATTTCTGAACATACTGAAATTAATTCTAAAAGTGAGACCGAGTCTTCTTTAAAAGTTTCTGCTGAAAACACTCTGGATGAGGGGATTGTTCGGCAGAAAGTTTCTGCATCAACTGACCATGATAGAGATATTACTGCAGAGCCTCTGAACTTGAGCTTGGATGCTCCTCCTGGTTTGGTGGAGCCTGAGAATCAGATTACATTTGGACAAAATACTCAAACAGCATTAGATCCCTCCATGAAACAGTGTTCAGAATCAGTTTCTGAAGTGGAAGGTCCTGTGGACCTTAAATCTGTTCATGTTCAGAAGCATCCAGATGCATTTGAACCTGCTGATTTGCATGGTACTTCATTGACTGAGAGCCACTCAGAACCTCTCTGTGAGGAGAAAAGGGATGAAGTATGTGAACAGCTTCAGTCTTGTGTTGCTAAACCTATTAATATTGACCCTGTTTCCCAAGAAAATATAGTATTACCCAATCCTATTGACAATCTGAAGGCTGATTTGTCTGAGGCCTGCCATATGGAAATGGACACATCTGACAGGGTAGTGTTGCAACAACCTTCTGGTTTGGAAGCTGTAGTGAATGATTCAGTGGGTGTTTCTGGTGTTGGCAGTCTTGTTGATGAAACTACATCTGAAGCTGCAGTCCTGTCCTCATTGACCTTGGTAAAAGAGCATAACAAGGGCTCATCTGTAACATGTCTAGTTAGGAGTTCAGAACCTTTGGAAGAGTCAGTGGAGAAGGGGGAAGCTAACAACTCTGGAGTCCATGGGGAAGCTAAAGTTGATAAAGTGGAAACTGATGTTCAAATGGATTCATCCACTAGTCAGATTTTGCCGGTAAAGCAAAATGTGAATTTGCCCTCCTGCTTAATGACAAAAGAAGAAAACATCGAAGGCTCATCCATGAGGGGCATATCTATCAGTTCATCTTCGTCACATGAGTTAAAAGACTCTAAAATTGAACTAGGTGATAAACATACATCTCAGGTTGATGATTCTCATGCTGCATCTGGAGATAATACATTGAAGAACTTGGATTTACCTTCCTCTGCTTCGGCGTGGAAGGAAGAAGGGATCAGTTGTACATCTGATAATGATGGTTCTGAAGGCCATTCAAAGTCTCTGAGGGTACCAGTCTGCTCTAATGACTTGTTTGGTAAATTGGATGTTCATCAAGCTGATCAATTGATAATTGTACCAGATGCCGCCCAGCCTTCATTACCCCAAGTGAAAGAGGAAGAAAAGATTGGGGTATCATCTGACAGTAAATTAGTTGGGGGGTCTGCGTCTGAGATTGACACGAATGGATCTGATGCTGATCATAGCAACTGTTCTGATAGATTGCAATCTGGCCTTGTGCCAGAAAATAGAGAGTTGGAAATCAATAAAATGTCTTCAGATTCCCCAATGACTGCCAGCCACTCTGTGGAGAGTCAACTGTTTGTAAAAGATGAAAATTCAGTTGTTAAAATTAGTGATCAAATGGATGCTTCTCGGGTTTCTGAGAATGGTCCAGAAAGGCTTACTTCCAAAAACATGGATGTGCCTTCTTGCTCACATATGGAGGGAGATAATGTTGATATGTCATATCACAAGGGCCCTCTCTGTAGTCCCCTAGCTCCAGGAGAATCAGGAGATCCAAATTGTGGGAATGGCACCAAGGTATGTTATTTTGCACACATTTAGCGTAGCAGATTTGGTAATCCTGCAATTTTGTACTGACTTCACTTATGCAGGAACCGGTTTCAAATCCATTTCCACAACAGAAATCAGAAGGTTCTGAAGCTGCGATGGTTGATGAAATGAAAACATCTGATGTTGGCATGGTTGATCCAGGACTGGTGTCTGAAAACATGAAATTACCTTCTTCGTTAGGGATGGAGCAAGATAAAGCTGTTGTATCATATGATAGCCCACTGACTGGTGCAGAACCAAAACATTGTTTGACAGGAGAGGATTATGGTGATGCTAATGAGGTATGACATTTTGCAAATATTAACTTATTGGTACAGTTATTATCCCTTGAGTTTTACTCTTAAATTTATTTCTGCTTGGACCCATTACAATTCATTATCTGTACAGGAATCAAATCCTTCAGAGGCTGAGATTGGTAATCAAATGGATAACTATGACATTTCTGGGGTTAATACACAGAGACTTTCATCAAGTAGCATTATTGTGCCATCTGAGATTGAGATGTCATCTGAGATGGGTCCACTCTGCAGTGTGCTAGCATCAGGGAAACCAGAAGATTGTTTAACTGGAGAGGAGAGTTGTAAAGATGCCACTGAGGCAAGTCATTTTTCGCACCTATATATGTTTACTGCTGTAATTCTCCCTTTAACCTTTATGAATTCATTTCTGTAGGGTCCCTTTACGAATCCAGTCCTGCTGCAGGAATCAATTAATTCCGAAGCTGGAATGGCTAATCAAAGTGAGACTAAGGTTGGTTCCCTGTTTAGACACTCCCAGCCTTTTATCTTGCTTCTACAATCAATAGGTTTGTTTTATTTTTAAGGTAATCAAATTGAAAAAATCATGTAATATTCTATTTAAAATCTTACTGCAAGAGTGTAAGAAGCTGTCTTGGGCTGAAGTAAAACAAATTAAAATTTAAGCTGTTTGACTGTGTGATTGTACACCTATTTGTACATCCTGCATTACCAAAATCACAACTGCATTGTTTCTCTTCTAATGCCCTATATATGGAATTAGCGTTAGCACATTGGACAAATTGGGAGACGAGACGATTTTATATGATACAGCTTTTATGGTTTTATCTGCATTAAAACAATATCTGTGATCTATTGTTTCCCTACTTTACTGGCTTATTATTCCTCTTTGTATCCCAGGTTGATGGGATATCTGTGGATGAAGGGTCTAGACATTTAGCTGTGTCTATCACAGCATCAGAGGGAGAAAACAAGGTGGAGACCTTGTCTGATGAAGGTCCACTAGGAAGCTTTGATGCACCGGATGAATCAAGAGAATTTGCTGACATTGAGGATAAGACAGATGATAAAAGCTGTGCTACTGAGATGGAAAATGTCTCTGAAGTCCCAAATTCCTCAGTATCATTCGATAAGGTGGAAGACTCAAGTAATATAGGTACAGTTGGCAGCGAAGCAAGAATGGAGGTATCAGAAGAATCTGAAGTTGTTACAGGAGATGGAGTTGATGGTACTCCAAGTTGTTTGGTTGTGCTTGAAACTGTGTCAATTGGTGGGGTTTCATCAGCAGCAGGGAGTGAACCTCTGCAGAGCTTGTCCGAGAAGGATTTAGGTGGCAACTCTGTAGCAAAACCTGACACTGAAGAATCTGAAGCTGGTGCTGCTGACCAGGATAATCAAGTGGTGCAAGAAAATGCATTGGAAGACATGGAACATGTGGAGAACTTGCCTGAGAAAGATTTAGTTGACAACACTGTTGCAGAACTCAACACGAAAGAATCTGAAGCTGTTGTTAGTAGCCCGGAAAATCAAGTTGTGCAGGAAAATGAATTGAAAGACTTTGAAAAATCCCCTCCTTCAGCAGCAGAGGGTTCCTCTGAAAAGGGTGTTAGTGCCTGCCCAGAAATACAGCAGGAATCAAAAGAATGTGAAGTTGAGGAAGGAAAGAACATTGTTGCAGACTCAGAAGAGGTTGTAAATGAAAAGGAAAAGGAGAAGACCTTGGATGAGAAAGAGTTGGGTGAGAGTTCAGAGGAAGGAAAAGCCCAAGAATCTGAAACCAAGTAATGAAATCTGGCCTTGTATATAATATTTACATCATATGTAGGGAATATTTTGTATATATATGTTGTAATTCCTTTGAAATCATGTTGGTTATCCTATTTCTTGATGTTGGGATATGATTATGTGGTCCAACATCTGTCTAATTGTTGGTTACTTGCTATCGTTTGTTGAAACGGTATCACAACACATCATTTTGAACAGGACATCTGAAGGTTACGCTCAACATTTTTTTTCTTTCCTTTTCTCTTGTGCTGAAAAAACGTGAGAGTTGGAATTGGTTGACAGTATATGACAAAGGAGGACTGTGTCCTCTATATTTACTCATAACATAGCGCCTTAGAAGTACGAAAGAAATTTTCTGATAGCAGTTTTGCTAATATAGAACTGTGTGCAAACTTGTATAAGCAATGAATGACCAAAGGAAAAATACTGTGCGCTTCACGTTACATTATTATTCGTTGCCCAAAAGAATGTAGAAGTTATCATATAATGTCAAAATAATTTGAATTCAGTAAAAATATTTCAGAAGTTGGAAAAGTAAATTTACCAATCAACTCTCTCGAGTTGAATTGATTTTGGCAGTAAATACTTGACGAACATCCTTATCACTAGGACGGGTAAAGAATGGTCATGTTCACTGGTTAAGACCATGCTATATATCATGTCAAATGCTTGTAATTACTTTTAAAAATGAGTGAATTTATTTTTAATTTTTTTACGTAAATAATGTTTTTTATCTATTTACTTCCTTAATTTTCATTCTGATGGTATTTACTGACATTTACCTTGAAGAAAATAATAAGATGAAAACATTTAACTGAATAATTAGTTGTTTTTTAATTTAATGTAGGCTTGTATTCGATAATTTTTTTAACAAATTAAAAATAATTTAAATTAGAATCAATTTATACATATAAGCTTTTTAGAAAGCTAAACACAACTTCTATAAAAAAAATAATGTTCATAAGTTTAATCTTTTTCTTCTGTAAATATTTATTAAAGAAAATTATCTAAATTAAACCTTAATATGGAAGATCAGAAAAACATGTATTTCAAAAAGATTGTAGTATTACTCCTCAAAAACAATATACAGTTTCTTAATTAATGAGAGTCATTTCCGATCTTATTAATTTTTCTAAATTATAACTTTAAATAAATGATATATTAAAAAATATATCTTATTAACGTTTGGAAAGATCTTATCTCAAAACTAATTCACAGTTTCCGCTTAGTCTGATGAACGGACAAGATCCTTTGGTGTTCACTTTTGCATTTTCATTTCCAGGTAGCGGTAGTAATAGACAAATGAAGCAGAACTGCTTTGAAATTTATTTAATTTTTAGTAATAGATATTCAAGTCTTAAAAATAACAAATCTTGTGTGTTAAATATTCTCTCAGCTTTGTTAATTAGTAGTTCTATTCAGCTGGAATAAGACTATTTTTTGTAGAAGATATATGTTGTTTAGAAAAAATCTATTTTTTTATATTTCTTTTTCTTAAATTCATTTATTTTTTCGTAAAAAGAAAAGCTGAATGAATGGCATGCGCTCTTATTTGTTCCGTACTACGACTAAGATTGTAGAGTTAGGACGTTCAGGTAAAATTGGGGATGCTGTCAAACTGTTCGATGAAATACACCACAAAGATTCCGTTGCTTGGAACGCCATGCTAACTGTTTATTCCCACCTACGACTTTACCAACACACTCTCAGTCTCTTTGGTAGCATGAGAATCTCCCATTCCAAACCCGATGACTTCTCCTACTCTGCAGCCTTAAATGCATGTGCTGGGGCATCACATCTTCGTTTTGGAACAACACTTCATGCTTTGGTTGTTGTTTCAGGCTACCTGTCCTCTCTCCCCGTCGCTAATTCCCTTATTGACATGTATGGAAAGTGTTTGAATCCTGATGATGCTAGAAAAGTGTTCCATGAGAGGACTGATGCTAATGAAGTGACATGGTGCTCACTTCTTCTCGCTTATGCAAACTCTTGCCAGTTTGACATGGCTCTTGAATTGTTTCGTGGCATGCCACAAAGGTTTGAGATTGCTTGGAATACAATGATTGCGGGTCATGCTCGTTGCGGGGAGGTTGAAGCTTGCTTGCATTTGTTTAAAGAGATGTGTGACAGCGTGTGTCAGCCGGACCAGTGGACTTTCAGTGCTCTCGTGAATGCTTGTGCTGAGTCAATGGAGATGTTATATGGATGCATGGTGCATGGTTTTGTGATTAAGTCTGGTTGGAGCTCTGCTATGGAGGTGCAGAACTCGATTTTAAGCTTTTATGCTAAATTAGAATGTCACAGTGATGCTATGAAGGTGTTTAATTCCTTTGGATCTTTTAATCAAGTTTCTTGGAATGCCATCATTGATGCACATATGAAATTGGGGGATACCCAGAAAGCTTTTCTTGCTTTTCAGCAAGCCCCTGAGAGAAATGTTGTTTCTTGGACTTCTATGATTGCAGGGTATACGAGAAATGGGAATGGAGAACAAGCTCTTAGTATGTTTCTGAACATGACAAGAAATTCTGTACAGCTTGATGATTTAGTAGCAGGAGCAGTGCTTCATGCTTGTGCTAGCTTAGCAATGCTAGCTCATGGAAGAATGGTCCATGGTTGTCTCATTCGCCATGGTTTAGACAAGTATTTGTATGTTGGAAACAGCTTGGTTAATATGTATGCAAAATGTGGGGACATGGAAGGTTCAGGGCTTGCATTTCACGGCATTCTTAAGAAGGACCTGGTTTCTTGGAATTCAATGCTGTTTGCATTTGGACTGCACGGGCAGGCTAATGAGGCTATATGCTTGTACAGAGAAATGGTGGCCTCAGGTGTGAGACCTGATGAAGTAACCTTCACAGGGCTGCTAATGACTTGCAGCCACTTGGGGCTTATAAATGAAGGCTTTGCATTCTTTCAATCAATGAGTTTGGAATTTGGACTTTCCCATGGAATGGATCATGTGGCATGCATGGTGGATATGCTTGGTCGAGGAGGGTATGTAGCAGAAGCAAGTAGTTTAGCTATTAAGTATTCAAATTCACACAATGCTAGGACCAATTCATGCGAGATTCTACTAGGAGCATGTTGTGCACATGGAGATTTAGGAACCGGGAGCTCTGTAGGAGAATATCTAAAGAATTTGGAACCTGAAAAAGAGGTTGGCTATGTATTGTTGTCAAATCTTTATTGTGCAAGTGGGCAGTGGAAGGAAGCAGAGATCGTTCGGAAGGCAATGCTGGATCAAGGGGTGAAGAAAGTGCCTGGTAGTAGTTGGATTGAGATAAGAAACGAAGTGACTGCTTTTGTATCTGGAAACAATTCATATCCCTACATGGCTGACATATCTAAGATACTATGCTTTCTTGAATTAGAAATGAGACATACATGGCCTATTCATTTTAATATTGAAGGATCTTTATAGACCAGTGAACCATACGGGAAAATTTGATATGCAATTTTTATTGTCTACTTTGGTGCCACGAAAACCTAAGATTAATATATTACAAAAAAAAAAAAGTTTACTGTTGAATGTTTCCTGCTGAGTAGCTTTTGTTTGTTTCCAAACAACCTGCTTGAAGTATAAGTAAACAAGTCGATGATGACCTTAACTTTTGATTTATTATGTTTCGCATGAATTTCATCAATAATGAACTATTTTTTAGGACAATTAACAAATTAGAATTAGAATTTTTTTCTTTAAGACTGTAATATTTGAGGTGAACAATGATTAAATATTATGACTTTTGTTTATTGATTCCTTTCGATAGGTAAAAATATCGGATTAATTCTTTTGAAGTGAGAAATTTGACTTCAAATTTTTTTTTATTAAAGTTGTCATATGATTTTTAAAAATATAATTGATTTGTTAAAGTTCTTTCAATTTATTATTTTCAATAACCTATAGAATTTTTATAATGGGAAACAAGTAAAAGGGAAATTTAAATATTATATATAAAAGATTTAAAGAAATAAAATTTATAAATACATGACAAATAATACCTAATCGATAATATTTCACGAATGTGTGTCTATATATATATATATATATACACACTATTTAAGAAATACTATATATAAGAAAATATAAATTTTATAATTTATTATAAATTAATATATTTTTAATTGATACGTATTTCAAAATTTAGAATGTATTATCTAAAATTTTGAAAGATTGAAAACATAAAAAAAAAAATCAAACAACGTATGCATGCAGTAAATTAAAAAAAAGCACATAATATTAAAATGTATTAATAATATTTTTTGACAGTTTATTAAAGTTATTTCAAAATTTTTTAAAAAATGTAAAATAATTAAAATTTGAAAGATTTATAACATAAAAAAAATCTATACATGAAATAAAAATTAATGACATAAAATTAAATTATAATCCATGTGACAGTTTTACTGAAATTACTTTAGTAATATATATAAATTATGAAATTGTTAATTTTTCAAGCATTGATATTTTAATAAAAAACTATAATTATTTTTTATTATCTAAATTATAACCATTTTATTTTAAACAGGTAAATAAAAATTTATATTAAAAAATTAATAATGCTTTTTATATAAAAATATTTTTTTCAATCTATAAATTTGAATAATTTATTTTTGGATTGGATTGGGCTGGATAATAAGAAGGGTTGAACTTCGAGAACGAAGCCCATCACCTAAAGATTGTAAGAAAATGATATTTGACGGTATGTCTGTAACTGCGAAGTCATCGCTGCTGCTTCGTTTCCTCTCCCTCTCTTCTTCGGAAGGTCCGTTCAACTCTTCGCCTACTCGAAACTTTCACATTCGTTTTCCATTTTCTTTTTTCTTCTTTCTTCGGTTTACATTTTTCGCTTCTTTTGTTTTGCTTTCCCCTCTGTAATGCTAATTCATCTTCTAATTGTTTAATGCATTTTCTGACATTCTCAACTGACTGATGTCTTGCTTCATTCGCGTTGCGTTAGTGTAATGCTACCTTTCATTTTCTCTCTTTTTCAATCTTTTTCTTTGATATATATTTTTTTCTTTCCTTCGCATTTTTTGTTTTTCCAGTTTTTTTTTTCTCTTTCGAAATAATTTAGGGTTTTAACGGTTATATGAATATGTTCTAGTGTTGGAGTTTTAAATTTTCTCTTTTAGTTATCCTCTGTGTGTTGGAGAGAAGCTTGGTGAGTGTGTTTACATGTTCTTTATTTGGTGACGATGTGAAGTAGATTTTAAAGGGTCTTCACTTTTGGATTGCTTTTTGATGTAGTTGTTGGATAGAAGCATTCTGATCGCTGGTTTTGGCATAGTGTACACCCTATTCATTGTTCCTGTTTTGTATTTGGTGTTTGGAATTGCGTTAAACAGTTGAATTCGTGTATTTCCTGCCTGCTAGTAAAGATGAGTGAAACAAGAACAGGGAAAATGCGTCTTATCTTATTTATTTTCAGTTTCTGTTTATACTCTTCTTGTTCTGTGTCTGACAAAAATTTACATACAGCAAGAGGTGATCATTTTCAATTTGTGTAATAAGTTTTTATTGTAATTGCAGTGCTATATATCTAATGGATTCAATGATACAACCCATTTACACATGCGATGTTGTGTGTTTAGAAATCTCTTTTGTGATGTCATTATGTCAATGATTTTTAAATCTTTTTAAGTTTGACAGGAATGATTTAGGATCTAATTGTTTCAAGTTATCAAAAATATGCAGGGTCAATCTGAATTTCAGTTCTGTATGTCTTTTGGGGGACTGGTGAGGTGTTGGAGGGTTTATTAGCTCAACATTTTAATTTGGTCAAGCTGCTCCTAAAGCTGTCAAATTGAATGTAGCTTGGTTGTATTTGCACTTGGCCATAGCACTCGCTCTAAGGTTTGAGATCCGAATCTTTGATGGACTGCAATAAAGAAGAGGCCTTAAGGGCAAAGGACATGGCCGAAAAGAAGATGGAAAACAGGGATTTTGTCGGGGCTCGTAAACTTGCTCTTAAGGCTCAGCAGCTGTACCCTGATTTGGAAAATATAAGTCAAATGCTTGTTGTATGTGATGTGCACTGCTCTGCTGAGCAGAAATTCTTTGGTAATGAGATGGATTGGTATGGAATTCTTCAGCTTGAACAGACAGCTGGTGATGCAGTGATTAAGAAGCAATATCGGAAGTTTGCTCTACAACTTCATCCTGACAAAAACAAGTTTGCTGGTGCAGAAGCTGCATTTAAGCTGATTGGAGAAGCTCAAAGAGTGCTTTTGGACAGAGAAAAACGGTCTCTTTTTGACATGAAGCGTAGAGTCCCAATGAGCAAACCTGCCACATCACGTTTTAAATCTGAAATGAGAAGCAATGTTAGGCCCAACTTTACAAGCTCAAATGTTCGACAGCAGCAGCAGCAACCTAGGCAGCCAGTGCAGCAGCAGCAGCAAAATGGTGGCCGCTCTACGTTTTGGACTGTCTGCCCATTTTGTTCTGTTAAGTATCAATATTACAGAGAAGTTTTAAATAGGTCTCTTCGTTGTCAACATTGCCATAGGCCCTTTGTTGCATATGATATAGGTATGCAGGGTACATCATCACCAGCAACTAATTCAACTCAGGAAGCTTCTGTACAGCAGAAAGATGGTGCTGAGAAGCCCAATAAAGGGCCTTGCAAGAAAAAAGGTCCTACTAATGTCTCTGGAAAACCAAATAGAAAGAGAAAGCAGGTGGGAGAATCCAGTGAAAATTCTGATTCTGAAGGAGATGCAGTTGCAGGCAAGGATGGTTTTTCTGGTGTTGAAAAGTGTTCAACTTATAGAGAAGAGCATCCACGCAGATCTACAAGGCAAAAGCATAAAGTTTCTTACAGGGAGAATGTTAGTTACAATGATGATGGCTTATTGAGACCTTCAAAAAGGGGTCTTGAGAGTGGACCACCTTGTGGTGATGGTGACACTACTGGTGGGGCAACTAAAATGAATGATCAGAATGGTTTAGCTGCTGATCTAAAAGATGAAAATAAAGAGTTAAAACAGAAGCAACACTTAAATCCTGAAGAGAACTTAAGAAATAACAATGAGGAAACTAACACAGTTAGGGGGAAAGATGCAGTGGGAGGGTCAAAGCAAATGAGTGAAACTTCGGAGCATACTCCAGATTCAACCGCCAAAGCAACAAATCATCCAAATGTTTATGTCTATCCTGATGCAGAGTTCAGTGACTTTGACAAGGATAGGAAAAAAGAATGTTTTGCGGCTGGGCAGATTTGGGCTATTTATGACACAACAGATGGCATGCCTAGATTCTATGCTTTAATCAGAAAAGTTTTGTCTTCTAGATTCAAGCTGCAGATAACATGGTTTGTATCACATCCAGATTGCAACGATGAAATCAACTGGGTAAATAAGGAATTGCCTGTTGCTTGTGGGAAATATAAACTTGATATGGCTGACATCACTGAAGATCATCTGATGTTCTCTCATCTGGTTTTGTGTAAAAAGATTGGCCGCAATACCTTTAAATTGTATCCTAGAAAGGGGGAAACTTGGGCCCTTTTTAAGAATTGGGATATCAAGTGGTACATGGATGTGGAATCTCATGGGCAGTATGAATACGAGTTTGTTGAAATCTTGTCAGATTTTGTTGAAGGTGAGGGTGTATATGTTGCGTATTTGGCTAAATTGAAAGGTTTTATAAGTATCTTCTTTCAAATTTTGAAGGAAGATAAACAATCATTTCTAATCCCATCACTAGAATTATTTAGATTCTCTCACAGGGTTCCATCTTTCAAAATGACTGGTCAGGAAGGAGTTAACATTCCAATAGGATCTTATGAACTTGATCCTGCAGCTTTACCAATGAATCTTGAAGAGATTTCTATTCCTGAAAATTTGGATGTGAAGACATCTAGCGGTGAGTATGCAAGGTCTTCAGATAAATCAGAACCCATGATGACATGTGGGGGAGATGTATCTATTCCCAATGTCAATCTGGAAGGAAGCAATTTGGCGGAGGAGAACAAGAATTCAGTTGATGACACTGCTGATTGCCGTGCTCCTCCAGCATGGACCTCTGGAAGAATTCAAATTCCAGATACACGATTCTTCAATTTTGATGCTGGGAGGTCCCGTGAAAAGTTTCAGATAGGTCAGATTTGGGCATTTTACAGTGATGAGGACGGATTGCCAAAATATTATGGTCAGATTAGTAAGATTGAGACAAGCCCAGATTTTAAATTGCATGTCTATTGGCTTACTTGCTGCTGGCTATCGGAGGATACCATTAAATGGGAAGACAAAGATATGCTTATCTCCTGTGGTAGATTTAAAGTTAATAAAAAGGCAAAATTTCTGAGTGTTTATAGTGACACCTCTTCTGTTTCACATCAAGTGCAGGCTGATACTGTTGGTAAGAATAGGAATTATGTCATCTTTCCGAAGAAAGGTGAAGTTTGGGCATTATATAGAAAATGGTCAAATAAAATCAAATGTTCTGACTTGAAAAATTGGGAGTATGACATAGTGGAAGTTCTTGAAGAAGCTGATCTGTACATAAATGTTTTAGTTCTGGAGTTTGTTAGTGGTTTTAGTTCAGTTTTCAGGGGCAAATCAAATGAAGGATCATATGTCAACCTGAGAATACCCAGAAAAGAGTTGCTTAGGTTCTCCCACCAAATCCCAGCTTTCAAGCTGACAGAAGAGCACGACCATCTAAAAGACTCTTGGGAACTTGATCCAGGTGCGCTAACAATTAATTATTACGGCTTGAGATGAAAGGGGCGCCCGGTGACTGAATATCCCCGGTTAGCCTGAGAGCCAAATTTGTGAATCTGATGGCATTTTTGGAAAGACAGGTTTTGGCAACAAGATGAAACTACAGTATCTGTGCCAGTGCAGTTGGTATCACGGCACCTCAGGGGTAGCATTTTTGTATTGTTAGTGGTAGATTACCAATTATTACTAAAGGAAGTGAGGTTTACCATGAACCCATTTCATACGGGTGCATTCACTTTACATATGAAAGTCAACTTATCACTTTTTTTCCTACGTAACTTCCTAGTAGAAAAGACTGACTTCCTTACGTAGTTTGCAGGAACTTGATGTGAAGTAAAATCCAAAAGCGACCTAATTGTTTTTCAATGGATGATTTAACTACTTAAAATATACGTGAAAAACAAATAGTATGCACAAGAATGAACCTAGTTGATGTGGAATGGATAATAGAAACCAAGAGCTAAAAGGCTAAATTTTGGATTCCAACGTCATGCGAAAATGTCTCAATGGCCACTAGGACTGTTGATGGTCCCTTGATCGGAGCCATTCATTTTATATTAATTAAGTAAATAATTAATACAGAAGTTGACGGAATTGATTTAAAAACCATTCATGGTCCTACTATATTGGGATTATTACAGAAGTAGCCGTCAAACAGATTCCAAATTTTGCGGAACTAGGAATCATCGGGTATGAATGTCAAATAAATGTACTCAGTTTTCTTAGAACAATATTAAAAGCATCACACCATGCCAGAATGCAGGCAGAATAACAAAAGCGTTTTTGGGTTGGCTCCGGTGTTATAAGGATAGCTCAGCCATTGTACTTATTCATAGATAAATATAAATGTGGGCATTTGGTCTAGTGGTATGATTCTCGAAATTTTTTTTATGCTAGAAATAGCATTAATCTTAACCTTGAGCTTGATAACTTAAAAGTTCTAGAATATTCTACCTTTGGCAAATGGATTGATTCCATAACAGTGCTCAGTAAGAAACAAAAATTGACTTGAATAAACTAACAAATAAACCGTTAACTAACGGGAGAACACCTTATAAACCCGCTGAGGAACCTTGCGAAATATAGCCAACATGAGATCCAAGTACAGAGGGAGTTGAACCAATACAAAAAATGATACTGGCAAACACGTCACAGCATATATGAGATAAACATAAGATTTGATACCACCTTCAATGATATAGTAATGTCCTGCACAAAACGAAACCAATATTGATGTTATAGATGTCCATAGTGAAGTCAATCCCAGAAGAAGCTTTCTTGGTAAGTCCACAGCAAAATCTTTTTCTTGATACCGAGATGTGAGTATTGAAAGAAACAAAACAAGGGCTGTGACTGAGGAGCACAGCGCCACAAGTGATGCAACAGCAAAGACTTTGAATGCAGCTTGTCCACTCAACACTGGCATACCCGTTTCTTCATTGGCACCACCTGGTATTGCTGTTGAGGTTGTGAATGCCACTGTTGCAACAAGTGCTGCAACTACTGAACATGATTCTGAGGTTTTGGTGAGCCATTTCCTTCCCTCTCTCACTAGTTGTCCATGAGTGTGGAGGAACACCTGTTTCGCTGTTTCTCCCTTGTTATTGTAACGTGCATAGAAATTTGGTGGCATGGAATCCTTAACAAGCTGAAAAAAGGTACAAAATTTATGAACTAGTCAAAGTGAGAACTTACCTTTACCCCATCTATAACTACATAGTTATGTCTCAAAAATACTGACTAAAAATTTAATAATTAAAGAAATCTATTTAAATTTATGATAATAATGTATTGATAATATTTTTTTTGTAAAAAAATAATAATTTCTTATTTGCCTAATTTTAAAGGCTAAAGTAAAAGTTAATCAAACTACTTTTCTTAAACTATGAGGAGTGAAATGGAGAATATTTGACCTTATACCACTTATATTCCCACTGCATTTGCATGGCAGCACCAGGGACACGCCAAGGCCTTTGTTCCCTGTAGGTCGCAGCAAGGTGCAATGCACTGTTACCATGATTGTCTATTTGACGAAATGCACTTTCTGTCTCTAAATTCCTCCCTGCCAGCAGCTTGTAGACACGAGGTTGCCTGTTCTCTATGGCCAAAAGAACAACATTCTTGTTGTCATAATCCACATCATGGATAGCCACTGGGAAAGTATCTAGGATTTTTGCCACCATTTCAGTCATTCCCATTTTTGCCGCAATTAAAATTGGTGACACCCTTTTCATTTTCTCAATAGCTCCTTTGTTCACATGCATATCTATGTTTTCCCTACCATTGTCATGCTGAAGATCAAAGGAATATTTTCCATTATGGTCATACTTATACAAAGAGGCTCTCTCAATCAATTCATCCATCACTTGCTTAGCCCACGTGTGTTTCTCCTTTTTCCTTTGGATTTTATCTATCCAAGATGCTCCTGTAAGTGTGTCACTCAATTTAGAGTAGTTAACTAACATGGAAATTGATTGTTAATTTAGCACACTTAAGACTAAACATCATATTTAGTCCCCTGTGCATTTTTTTTCTTATTCTGTTTCATTGTACAACTGTGGAATGATACATGGTGATATACATGTACACTTACCCACACCAAAAAGTATTAGCAAGGCCTTCATCATTAAGGTTAGAAATCGGATGAACACTTCCCAATTTGGAGGGAATCGATATTGTTTCTTTTCTTTCCTTGCTTGCTCTTGCACTGTGTAAAATAATATATAATATGTGAGAAAAGGGGCATTTACTATTCAGAACACCTTAAAGACATAAAGTTAACCATTTTTACCAGCAGCTAACATGCATGCCGCATTATATTAGTAAGTGAAAATAAATAAATAGAAATTGCTTCAGGGGTAGAAGTAAGAGTTTGCTAATAAGGTAATGAATGCAGTACTTGAAATTCCTTATTAATTTTATGTTTAGAGGGTAACACCAACATCATAGTTTTACAAGAGGAAATATGATTACCATTACCACAATTGGGGTGGGATGGTTGTGGGAGATTCTCTTCATCATCAGTTGTAGCTTTACTATCCTTTGTGCCTATTGCTGTAACCCAACACATTGAAGAGTTATATAGGCTGCCATATTCATGAAATAGGTAAATCAAACTGAATATATGAAACAGGAGCCACGCACTTATAACTTGAATTGCATTCTTCAACAAATATAAGAAGCTGAGGCATGTTCCACAGTTCATTGGATACTTAAAATTTTGTGTGTCTCCTCTATTAGTACTAAGGTGCTCTGTTTCTTCCTTCAGCTCATCAACAAGCAAACCTGCCTCAACCGTATGTCAGAAATATACAGACTACAAAACTAGCACTGTGTTTAATGAAACTTTTGACATTAGCTTTCACAATCGTCAAGGGGATGTAGGTGTGCTTAAAATTGATGTCATTACTGTATATAAACCATCGGTTTATCCAAGGTGTGTCATTTATGAATTGTAAATTTTTATGAGAAATTATAAGGTATCCATTGATCATGTCACGAAATTTATAATTTTTTAGTAAAAATTTAGTATTTATTAATTTCTTATTACGTGACTTTAGATCTATTAAAAAATCGACAAATATAAATGATTTTTTTATCATTGAAATTTTTTGTTGTTTTTTATACAAAAGTACCTTCTAATTTAACTAATTGTTCTCTTAATATATACATTAATAGGGTTTCTTTTAGAGTAAAAAATGAGATGTTTTAGCTCTTGAAATTTAATTACTATATTAATTTCTTTATTCAATATTTTTTTTTAGGAAACATAGATTGGTTTTTGTTTCAATTTCATAACTGTACTCAAGCTTTTACATTTTTCAACAAGCACTTATATGTAACTAAAATTTGTTAGTTAATAAAGGTCATTAAAATATCATCGAAAAAATATATTAACTCACAAGCCAAGCCAAAAATCAGTAGTATTACAAAGGAAATTAGTATAACTTATTGGAAAAAGGTTTCGTGAATAATAAAGTGAGACAAATTTTTATTTTTTTTTGTAATGTATATTTTTGAAACATAGGTAAATAAATAAATTATAAAAATTATATACAATATCACATTCCTTATTTTATCAAATAATAAAACTGATTCCTTTTAGAAGGTCGTTAATCATTTTGAGCAATGTGAACGTATTGATGGGCCCACATAGATGTGAAGTGTCACATCAAGAACATTTTGCAGAAAATTGACCTTGAATCTAATAACATAATCTACACGATTGTTACTTCCTTTTGCCATTGTATAAGCATTCTCCAAAGGTATATGCATCTTGCAAAAGAGTGAGCAAAACGGGTTGAAATAATTATTCTCACAGTTATAAATGATACGATCCAAAAGCTGCATCCTGGTGCTGCTTTTAAAACAATTAGGCTTCATAGCAAGAACATGAAGAGGTGATAAGCCATCCTCATTCACAAAATCCCCAAGATTTGGATACAACCTTATTATTTGAAGCGCCAAACCTAACAAACTCATCAAACTTAAGTGATCATATAACAATGTTAGCATGTTCATGAAAATAAATTGCACGGTATAGTTAACAATGGCACTAACCAAAGTATTCATTAGAGATGGTAGAATGAAGAATAGTGTCCCCGTTGCTCTTTATGCATGGCGAGTAATCATCTTTGTTTTGTAGGTGACCATGTAGACAAAAGAATGCATCTTTCCTACCATGAATAGATGCCGAGAAGAGAGGGGTTTCACCTTCAAAATTGTGACACAAAATGAGTTTGGGGTCTCTTTTGGCTATAGTGTTGCAAATGTCCACATTACCAAGCTCAGCTGCTAGATGCAGAGGAGTGTTTCCCTTTGAGTTTGGTATATTTAGGATGGCAAGAGACACATCTTCTTTGATATTCTCTAAAAGGGTAGTCAAAAAATTGGTTTGGCCCACATAGACAGCAATGTGTAAGACAGTGTCTTCTGCTTTTGTGATTTTAGCTTCCAAAGCTCGGGGGTTGTTCTTGTAGGCCTCTAAAACTTCTCTCCACTGGCCTTTCATGGCATAATTGAACAAACTTTCAATCTCAACTACCTCCACCATTTTAAGAGCTAGCTAGCTATTTCCCTCAAGTATAAAATGCATATATGTGTATGTATATGCAGTATAGAGCTAAATATATTGTATTTTTTAGCATACTAGCTACCACTTTTGCAGATTATTATATGGTTTTCATTCAGCTTCAGAAAATCACATGTTAAAGTAAGCTGTAGGAGGAAGCAAAGAAATTATATAACTATTACTAACCCCAAAGCCAGATTAGAATGTGGAATGAACAAGTAATGAACAAGTAAGTGAGAAGTGGAAAAGCAGGCATGATAGAGTATGTAATAGATTTTAGTTTTAATATTTGATGTGCAATAGTCATAGATAAAAAGGGGTTATATCTTTTCCTCGTTAACTTGCTTTAATTTCCATTTCTTTATATGCAAGATAAGCATTTTCTTGATGGTGAAGGAGATTTAGATTCCAATTCCATTATAACTGGAGCTTAAACAAGAAGGTTCCAAGTACAAAACGCATCATCCTTGTAAGACAAATATACAAGTCGGTGGTAACGTTGGCAACACCAAATGTAATCTTTGCATGGTAAATTGTCCGGATGAAATTATGATATTGGATTTTTTTTCACAAATAATTTACAAACTTCTGTATCGCACATATCTGAAATCTTGAATAAGATTAAAGGTAAATAAGTAAAATTATAATTTTCGTCCTCCAAATTAATTTAGATTTTAGTTCAAATTTTTTTTATTCAGTTTTGTTTGTTAAAAAAATCATCAAACTTTTTTTTAATTTTTTATTTAATTTAATTCTCTAGATTATTTGTGTTAATATTTTTCTTCAACGTTTCTCGGTTTCCTAATTAAAAAAAATAAAGTTTTCTAAATAACAGCGTTTAAGAGTTGGGCTTTTTACTCTATACAGTATCAGCATGTCACTGTATAACCATTGCTAAAAATCTTTTCTATTTCCTATAAACCATTTTTGACTAACTACTAATTCTTAAACACATGCCAACTAGTGTAAAAATAACATTGATTGACTAAAACTTAGACTTGAATTTATCTTACATCAATATTGAAACATTTTTTAAAAGCCCAAAACTTGTTTGATCAAGTCATATAAAATTGGAGACAAATTTTGGTATAAAAACTAATTTAGAGGATCAAATTAAATTTTAAAAAAAAAGGTAAAAAAAAACTGAACTGAAACTTAATTAAATTCAAAAGATTAAATTGAATCAAAATAAAATTTAGAAAACTAGATCAAAGCCTTTATTAAACTTAAAAGGCAAAAATTAATTATAATTTAGGCAAAGTAAATACATGATCCTTTGTTCTTTAAGAACAAGCTCTGGGAAATGAACTTACAGGATACCCTTATTGAGAAATGACAATATAAAATATATTTGAGATTCATGGGTACCCCACTGCCATGCACGTCTCCCAAAATAGTCTATCTTCGGATTCATTCACATCAACTTCACCGATCCTTGTTTCTGCTTCATCTTCTAATGCTGCAATTGACAACCACATGCTGGAGTTGCAACCATCATCATCACCACAAATTTCAGCAAATTCTTCATCATCTTCAACATCCTTAGGTAGGCCACATGTTGCACTGTCACAGTTACAAGACTCAGCATCATCCTCAGTATCGCCAGCTATGCTGCTGGGACACAGGGTAAAGAAGGCAGAGTCATCTTCAGAATCAGCACTATCCTCAATTAGTAACATAGGTGACACATCCATACTATTTTTCTTCACATAAAAACTTGTCACTTGTTCTGCTTAATTAGTGATATTTTTAAAGGATGAGGGTTGCACCTTACTCTAACAACTATTTGTGATATTAATTGTAAGTTGGTCATGTTTTGTTCACAACCACATCGATTGATCTTTTGCTGGCATGCGTATCTACTGATGTCATTTCCAATCAAAGCAAAAGTGGTTGCTATCGGTTGACATTTCTAAATTTATTTCGATATTTGAATAACTACAAATTAATATTATATTATTTATAGCTTTTTTAATATATACCCATCTTCTTAAAAATACACTTGGACACAAAATTATGAAAAATAATAATAATTTCCCTTTCCAAATTGATGGTGGGTTTCAGGTCGTTGATCCACTCCATTATTTGCAAGACTTGAATATGCCTATCCTTTTTTAAGTGCCAATACTTTTGGGCTTGAATGTGTTTTAAATTTTTAACATGATGATTAGGGAATTGCAGAGTTCAAATGTTCAATTGATGAATATATGGTTGATCCCTGGTGGTATTATATGTACCATAATGCATATTAGGATCTGCCGACGCTTGTTATCACATCAAAGCAAATCACTAAGTGATGGCAGACATGGCACTATATATTAATGGTGCTGTAACATCACTGGCATATATAGTGCGGCAGTTGGAATAACAAGCAGCAAATGTGAAGATTGTATTACCTTTAATAAATAATATTTTTTAAAAGATAAGAATAGAATTAGAAAATAGTAGTTAATGTTATTTTTTTTAAGATAAGGATGCGATTAGAAATAGTAATTAAATATTTAATCAAACTTTTAATTCTTAAAAGTTGGTAATTTTTTATTATTATTTTAAATAAACCCCTTTTAAAACATTTTTTTCACCTGATGGTATCTCTAGCTTTTACATTTTATTTGGATTCTTTAAATATTATGAGCTTTTATTTTGATCCATTTAAATATCATGAGTTTCATTATAAAATACTATATACTTTTTTATTTAATTCCTATTTTGAGAGACTAAATAGAAATAAGAAAACTAAAAGGATTAATAAAAGGGACCGTTTGGTGCTAAAAAGTATTTTATGGGGACCCATTTAAAAAATTAAAAAAAAACGAACTAAATAAAAAATTACAATTTTTTTAAAGACAGAAACTTAATTAAATCTAATTGATATTAATTTGAACTTTTAAGATATCAAATAAAAGATCATTTTTAATAAAAAATAATAATAATATTTTTATTTATCTTCATATTTATCAGTAGGAAAGTCAAATGCCCTCAACTTTTTGGTCTATTGGAGTTGGGCGACTCCTACACAAGATTTTTTCTTATTCAACTGGACCACTATGAATGTTAATTCACATCAAAATAATTTTGATCCGGTATTTTAACTACTCTTTTTACAAAAAAAAAAAAAAAAAAACTTTCAAATAATGAAGTAGTAGCTAGTATTTGATAATGTAAGAAATAATCTTAAAAATAAATATTTAAGACAAAATAACGATTAATACTAACTCTTTTTATGCAAATATATATATATATATATATATATATATATATATATATATATATATTAAAGAAAAGATACTGTGTCCTATTTTAAATGAGAAAAAGTGAAATTCAAAGTATTTGTAGAAAGTTCATATTTCATTCATTTCAAAATGATGAGTAAAAACCTCTAATCTATAAATACAATATTCTATTACTCTATTCGATTAATTGTTTTACATATAAAAAAATGGTAAAAAAGATATGACAACTCTAATACTCTCGGAGAGGACACCAAAACATGCTAAGAAGATAAGCATAGGTTCAACCCAAAAAAGACAAGACAATGGAAACCAGGCCACATAAGGCCCATTTATTTCTATTCATTCTACCAGTTGAGTGACCAAAATTCAAGGCTGCTGAAATTCTAAATTAGTCAAAGTGAAACGTTAAAAAAATGTAAAAACATAATCACAAAGAGTAATTTTTATAAATTAATCCTGAAAAAATAGAAAATACATTTTTTTATTTTTTTAAAATACGTATTTAAAAAGAAAGACCCTGTCCGAAACGGTGCTTAAAACATAGGTATATATATGAACCGTCATATTTAACTGCTCACGCAATCAACAAAAATAACCGTTCACCAAAATAATTCCCAATTTTTCTCTTTGCTTGGCAGTGTCACGCTTTGACTTATACGTTTCAATTCAATGGGGAAGAACAAAAATGTTGAGCAAAACAAAGTAATAGTTGTAGAATTCAAGGTTTCAATGCACTGTAACGCCTGTGAGAGAACCGTTGCCAAAGCCATCTCCAAATGTAAAGGTACTTCATCTTTTCCTTATAAATGATTGTTATTTCTAATTACCCAGTAATTGTGTGATTTTACTCTTGTTAGGAGTGGAGAAGTTCATTACGGACATGAACAAACACCGAGTGGTGGTAACGGGTCGAATTGATCCAAAAAAAGTATTGAAAAAAATAAAAAAGAAAACGGGGAAGAGAGTGGAGATTGTGTCTAACAAGGATGAGGAGTCAAACGATGAAACTCATGAATCGGATAAGCTTGTTCTAATGCACCAGTTTGTGCTTCAAAATGATTGTTGCATTAAGACCGAAACGCTGATGATGTTCAGCGATGAGAACCCAAATGCGTGTGCACTAATGTAGAAAACTATTTGAGAGTTTTAATTATTTGTAATTCTTTGATTTGTATTTATTTTTAAGTTCATCCCATCTGTAACGACTTTTAGAGCCATGTCATAAACCTTAATATGGGAATCGTTCCAGCACCATAAAATAATTAAATAACCCATTCCATGTATCTACGTACATAATGAATTTCTATCTATCTATCTATCATCTACATATATAAAGAGGGAGAAAATGATTGAAATAAATTTTAATCTCCACTGTTTGAATTGATTAAAAAGTTAGACTCATCGACGGGTGTATCATTTTTCTCCTTTTAGATGAAGTTGACATTTAAGCCTCAATCAAAACTGAGACGGATGAACTATTTTGAAGTAATAAACTATCCCAATATTTTTATTAGGCTCAAATCCAAAAGCTAGTTGTTGACATGTTGATTTGTTAATAATAGATGTACCCTTTTCCTTCTTTTTGTTGGCTTTGAAGGATTGGGACACATATGATGCCTCATATGGCTTGTCCTCGTTATTTGTTTAAGTTACGTGGGCAAACTTCTAGCCGTGTGCTTCCTACTAACCTTGAAATGGCGCAGTAGATTTGCACCAAAATTAAACAATTCAGCGCCACGCACCACACATTCATAGTGCGCCTTGGAAATAATAGGGTGGGTTATTTAAGATTCTTATATTTTACGTAATAAGTGTAAATAAGTAGAAGGTAGAGAATAACAAAAAAGAACAAGGAAGAAAGAAGTAACATGTATGAAATATAGATGACGTGATAAAAAAAAGGCATAAAAAATAAATATTGTTCGTTTATTATAAGAGATATAAAAATATAAGTATTGCTCGTTTATTATGTGAGATATCCTTGTGGTGTGATACATAAACTTGGGAATGCTTTTCCTATTTTAAGACAGAAAAACTACCAACTTCAGTCTGAAGTTGTTGTAGAATTACAAACTACCTATTGGTAATAAATTTTGTAATTTGAATCCAAGTTATATAATTATCATGAGCAAAGGATGTCAGCTTGTGTGATAGATATAGATATAACTAATGTTGTCAATTCATTTGCAGAATTATCTTTAAAAACGAGTCCAACTTCTAGAACACAGAGAATAAGAGTAGGGCGAGACAAATATGCTTCGGGTTTTCTGAGGTCCTCGTAATATTTCTTTCCATCATCCTTATTTTAGGAAAAAGGGGATTTTGATCATTGATTGTGTTATTGGCCAACTTTCTGAGCAAATTAGCAATGTTTGTTTCCTTCGTCTTGGGGACAGATTTCAAATTCAGTTTAGACAACAGAAAAGCTTTTCTCTTGAACCCATAGAAAAAGTTAAGGATTTTCTCCTTTGAAACTAGTGGTATCAATATAGGACAACCAGCACCATACACTTAAATAATTCATATAATTATATTATTTTTTCAGATTACAGAGTGAATCATGTTATCATACTTTGTACATTATGGGAAACGAAAAATTGAACTCCTAGATAAATTATTTTTATGACATGACTTCAAGTGCCTCTCTTGTCTGTCCAAGTATGTTGAACACTGTTGCTGCTATGTGAGATGGTGTAAGACCCGCAAGAGACAATTGGTCAGAAGGAGATCCATGGTCAATATAGCGATCAGGAAGAACCATTGGCCTCCACTGCACAGTTGTCAAATAAAGAATATGAGTTTTGGGAAACTAGCAAAATATTCATAAAAACTTGAAAGATGCATGATACTATTGCTTAGTTCAAAGTTCAAACTCAGAATAAACTTGTTTGGGTTCTAACCTTCAGTTTTCCATCTAGAAGGCCATCAAGGGCCATGAACTGAGCAACATGAGAACCAAATCCTCCTATTGATCCTTCTTCTACAGTGATCAACACTTCATGTGATTTTGCCAGGCTGCGAATCAAGGAACGATCCAGTGGCTTGCAGAAACGTGCATCAGCAACTGTTAAGCGTAAGCCATGACGTTCCACTAAGGAAGCCGCAGCCAAACAGTTCTGAACAGCTGTTCCGTAGCCTATAAGGGCCACTCTTTCTCCTTCAATCAATATCCTTCCTTTCCCAATCTGTCATTCCAATATCAGGATTTAGAACATTAACATCAAAGTGAATTTGCATAAGTATTCCTAATACTCTCCATGAGTATTCTAACTTTACCTCAAGAGGAGTTCCTTTATTCCCAGATGGTAGCTGAACACCAATGCCATTTCCTCTTGGGTATCTGAAGCAACTAGGCCTATCATCAATGGCTGCAGCAGTGGCAACCATGTGAAAAAGTTCTGCTTCATCTGAAGGAGCCATCACCACCATGTTAGGGAGGCATGCCATGAAAGTGACATCAAAAGAACCACAATGCGTTGGACCATCTGCTCCAACTAACCCAGCTCTGTCCATTGCAAACCTTACAGGAAGCTTCTGCAAATCCACATCATGCACCACCTGTGGAATGGACATGGAACATGTACTTTGAGCACAGTTGCTGTTATCATGCTAAACACTGTCTGTCTTATAATGATGTGATCATAGAGAAGAATTTTTTCTAATGTAGGGAGAGAAGTTGTTATCCTACCTGATCATAAGCCCTCTGCATGAATGATGAGTAAATTGCACAGAAAGGCTTAACACCTTCACAAGATAGACCTGCAGCAAATGTAACAGCGTGCTGCTCTGCTATCCCCACATCAAAGCATCTTGTTGGGAAACGGCGAAGGAAGAGATTCATGCCAGTTCCACCTCCCATTGCTGCATGGATCGCAACAATGTCTTTGTCAGCTTCGGCTTCTGCAATCAAAGCCTCTGCAAAGTATGTTGTGTAAGACTGAGTGGTAGCCTTGGATTTGAATTGTTTTCCTGTTGGCGGGTCAAATTTGGTAACTCCTGCAAAATCAAACCAAGTCCTATATTCATGAGAAATATAGCAAGTCAAAGGCAACAAGTCACTAAACAAACAGAATTTTTCTTGTAGATTATTGATTATGCTTCACAAGGCATAGTGATGGGAAGTAATTGCTCAAAGGTAATAGGTGCGCTCTAATTGTAATTTTTCCTTTACCGTGGTACTTGTCTGCTGCTTTTTCTGCATATGGGTAACCGCGGCCTTTTTCAGTGATAACATGGATTAATACAGGACCGGTTGTTTTGGTACTCTTGACTTCTTTAAGAATGGCAACAAGATCATCTATGTTATGACCATCAACAGGACCAATATAGTAGAGTCCAAGCTCTTCAAAAAGTGTTGATCCTGAACCACTGATCATGCCACGAGCATACTCGTCAACTTTTGCAGCCAATTCATGCATAGGTCCTCCAATTCGTTTAGTTACTCCCTATAGAAATATCATTTGTCAAGATTCGGTTTCAATAATACTTTGTGGCCCCAAAAATCCCTCATTGATAAACTCATGAATTGTATTACTCACCTTGGCAACCTCTCTCAATTCTCTGAGAGGCCTATTTGATTGTAATCTACTGAGAGCACTACTCAAGGCTCCAACAGGTGGTATGGGTCCATCAAGAGTAGCAGTTGGTAGAGAGACTTGCTTGTTGTCATTTAGAATAACAATCATGTCAGAATCAAGATATCCAGCATTATTCATGGCTTCATAAGCTTGTCCAGCCGTCATAGCACCATCACCAATAACAGCAACTACGTTATTCTTTCTTCCCTTCAGATCTCTCCCTACAGCCATTCCTGTTGATTCAATAAAATTCCAAAAGTTAAAGCCAAATCACCAAACCCCATTGTTAAATTTTGAAGGTATAACTCATATTCACCGCTTCCAATTTTATTTATTCATTTAATACTTTATTTAACCAATTCTTTATCAAACTCACAACTATGTGCTGAAAAATCTGTCTTGAAACTCAAATAGCGGACAGAAGAATAATTACCAAGTCCTGCTGAAATAGTTGTTGAGCTGTGACCAGTGCCAAAACAATCATATTCACTCTCAGAACGTTTTGTAAAGCCAGATAACCCATTTGTCTGCCTCATGGTATGCATCTTATCCCTTCTACCCGTGAGTATCTTATGCGGGTAAGACTGCAAACTCGTACAAGATTGCCTAATTTAGAACATGTATCAAGTAACAAAAGCATCAAAGAAATTGATAAACCAACCTGGTGACCAACATCCCACAATATCCTATCCTGAGGGGTATTGAAGACATAGTGGAGTGCAACAGTGAGTTCCACCACACCAAGGCTTGAGCCCAAATGACCCCCAGTTCTAGAAACACTGAAAATGACATCAGAACGCAGTTCATCCGCTAGTTGTTTAAGCTCCTGCGGCAATCAATATCCAGGCTTTGGCATAAGCATGATGTTTTTTTTCATTTTACAAAACAACCAGCATACATACATAAGTCACATGCTTTCAGCTAGTGTACCTTGGTAGAGAGATTTTTCATATGAATTGGAAAGTTTACAGTGTCCAATAGCGGAGTTGGAGGTCTCTGAGAATAATACTCCCCCCTCTCCGATAGTGATGCATAAACCCCACTTGACTTTTTCTTCATCTATATACATTAACAACAGATAAGACATCATTTTACTCGGCCTGTCCCATCTCAATTTCTAGACATGAAAACAACTAATTTTCTTTTAAATAAAACAAAAGGCTAACTGAAAATAAAGAATAATGTAGTTAGTTAAAAGCAAAAGTCATTGCATTCACAAAACGAAATGAGAGTAAATTACATGAGCAAAAGCATGTCCTAATCCTAACCTGGTTGAGCCTGTGTTGGGTTTGGCCGAGAAAGTCCAGACCCCATTGAGAATGCGAGGCAAGAGGAAGTGGTCTTCTGGGATCAGAAGCTGTAACTCGGTTTACAAAAGCAGGATATGAGAGTGCACAAAGATCCATGGGAGCAGAAACTGAAGAAAACAGAAAGAAAAGGTGGAAAAAGGGAGAGGCACAAAATGAAAGAGTGCAATGGAAAGTTTCTTTATAGAAAAGAAAGAAGAGTGTGTAATTGGGCACTAACAGAGCGTGAGTGACGATGGTGGGGATGGATGGAATTGTGATATAATATAATATAGTTTAAAGGGCGAGAGAGGAAACGTGTGTGGCTGTGACAGAGAGAGAGAGAGAGAGAAGTGAAGAGATTCCAAGTAAAAAGTATGGTTTTAATGAGAGTGGTGTCTGCTCATTGGAGGAGGTGGTCAGTGATGAGTAATTCCATTGGGCCACGTCACACGAAATCACAATTGGATAGATTCATAGGATATATCAATCGATACATTTAATAAATAAAATGAGTATGCCGCGTTTCTACTATTCTTGTCTTATTCTTCCCTCTCCTCGTTGAATGCAAATGGAAAATGAATGAATCTGTGTCGGTTAAAAATTGCGCATTCCCCCTTCCTTCTGTCTCATCTCTTTGTTAGGTACTCATACACCCCAAAAGGATTATTATCGGATACCAAAACTCATACATGTATAACTTCACGCTTGAACTTTGAAGACCTGGTCAACCACTAAGCAGCTACCCAGTAAATCTGAATCATATAGTCGAACCACAACATAAACAAAGGAAATAAATTTAATACTATATAGAAAAGTCCATGCAATTATGTAAAAAACACACTTTTTATATAAAAAGTGCCAGGCACGGAGACCATCGCTAGTTTCCTAATCAAGGCTATGTATGTGTGTATATAGAACTAAATTGACTCTTATAATATAAAAGGAGTAAACTTTAGTAGCTTGATTTCGTTTTTTCGTCGTCACAACTGGTTTAAAAGGAGTCAAACTGAGGACATTATTAATCTGTAATCAAGCCTATGTAGTGAGGCCACAAGGTGAAGCTAAGGTTATATGTGTTGACTTCGAGTACGCGTGGCCACGAATATACCTTGTCCCAATAAAGTTGAGTCCACTCGCCCGATTAATTAAATTCGACCTATCAAAAAGTTTGTAATTGGCTTATGTGATTTAGTGGTAGTTATGCTAACCTCTGCCCAAATTAGCACTTATTATTTCGAAAACTGCACTCCCATTCCTTACTGTATATATTATTTTTTTCATTATGATGCTTTTTTTTATAAAGGAATTCCACGCGCATTCTCTGTTTTAAAAAGTAAGAAAAAATACGCTTAGCCGATGATACTAAAATAACCTATCAGCTCAAGCCAACCAACCAAACATATAGCAGTTGATCAAATACTTGGCCCAAACATCTCATTTTATATGCGATGATTTCTCTTAGAACACTTGGTCAACTGCCACTTACAAAAGAGGGAGGAGCAAATTATAGCGTGAATCAAGTATCACTTGAGTAATTAAGTTGTAACTCTATAACTATCTTCCAATCTTAGAAAACACACATCACATAAGAAAATTTCATTTTTGACACAACAGCCAGCAATGAAAAGAGACTAAACGGTTTAATAAATTAAGCAAAACGTAAATAACTAATTGTTTTGGGACCCTTGGTGTCATCTTCCATAATTCATCAACTGAAAGGTGAATTTGATGCGATGGCCACGGACAATTGGAGACTGGAGCTTAAGTTGTGTTGCGGTAATTCCCTTGGCGAGCAGCTCTGTGGACGGGAAATCGCGATAAAACTTTTTATATTATATATAAAAAAAAAAAAAAAACCTTTATATCAATCTTTGATTTCACAAAATATTATTTATTTTAGTCTTTTTTACTGCAAAATAAAGATAAAAATAAAATAATCATAATAAATATTTTTATTAATCCATGAATTGTAATAAAAATTCTATAAAATCAGTAACAATTTCAAGATTTTTTTCCCAAATAAATTACATAAAATGTAAAAAATAACTTACATTTTCCTTTTGTTTCGAATGATTTTAAATTCGAAAAAGTTGCAGAATGGGCATCAGATGGTAAGCGTTATATATATTATTTATTTATTTTAAAAAATATTTGAGAAAAAATTTAATATAAAATCAATTTTTTTAAATACTTCAGATTCTTCAACATATTTTGATTGATCTAATTGATTATTTACTTGTATAGAGGCTCTCTAGACCAATCACATGACTAATTCTAAATCCAATCGATTAAATCAATATCCAAATTTGCTGACCATTAAATTTACATTCCCTCCCCTAATAAATAACCTTTTTGTTAATCAGTTATTGAAACTAATTTTATGAAACCGGATATGAAAGAATATGGCAAGTGATTGGTGGAGATCTATTAACAAGAACAAGATATTCGTTATCGCTCAACTTTAAAGCCTGTGTATTAAGAGGCAAATTGGCTAAAGGTATAGGTCATAATTAAGAGCTGCATGGACTATCAATCTTTTATATATATTTTTTCAGTAATAATTCTGAGTAATATTGCGTGTAACATAGGAGTAGCAGTTCTGAAAACATCAATGATTTGGGCTAACTGCGGAAAATAGATAACTGAATAAAACAAGTTTCAAACTTAACGATTCATGAACAAGCACCCGAAGGAACAGTAAAGTGATGAAAAAGCCTAAATGCAGAGTCAACCAGAATGACACACAAGTCAAACTACCTTCTAATGGGAATGTCGCCTGCAGACTACCACTATTAACATCACAGACTATACTTAACTAAATTTATATCTTCAAAATGTCAAAGTTTGAACTACAGTGTGCCAACAGAAAGGCCGAATTGACACCATGAAATCTCTGCTTGAAGGCAAATCAGCGTGGACTGCAGAAAGAAAAAGAAATAATCAATCACTGAATTACAATATCAATACAAGGTTTAAAAAATAAAAAACCATGTCATCCTACAATTTGTCTTCACTCAAAACAAATTAATTTATTGTTTGGTTCAAAAAAATAATAAGCATTTGAACTTTAACGTATACCTGTCTAGAAAATATATAATGTATTAAGTCAGTACATGATTTCCAGATGAGTGGTTAATGAACAACATCCTGACTTAAGACATTAATTACGAATATACTAACAGTAAACTTAATAATGAAGTTAAAGATTGGCATTTAGCCTCGGAAGAAAACAAAATGGCATTTGTTTATTCAAATGTTTTACATTTACTACTAAAAGTGCTGTTATCTCAGGTTTTAGATATACTACTTACAAGGTCGGAAATCTAAAGTGAGCAAGGATGAATTATAGGTATATTCATTGTTACTGTTGAGTGGCCTTATTTGCACTTACATGACCCTGCTTAAAAGATTATATTTTCAGAATCCCAACTGCTTTAAAGTCTTTAGCAGAATTTTAGAGATCATATTTTAATCAACAGAATTTAGATTTAGTAAGAACTGAAACTAGGTCTCATTCAATAAATAAAATTACTCCTAAAATTCATACCTGTATGACAGCGAACAAGACCTCGAAGGACTACGCTCATTACCCCTAGGACTCTCTGATCTGCTAGGGATTGGATCCTTCTTACCAGTAGGACTTCGACCATTCTGCCTGAGATGAGGGGACCTCCTGTAGTCCTTCTCAGCGCTAGGAGAGAGAGACCTAGAATAAGATCTTGATCGCTCAGGAGAATAATAATCATCCCTACCCCTACCATCCCTATGTCAACATAAGTGAGAAACCTTAGTTATAAAGTAAAGTAAACAAAAATGACTAAACAACACAGTTACATATATTATAGAAAAGGTAATACCAACCATAAACATCTCATGAATCAATAGAGATCTGAATATATGCAACTACAACAAAATACACAGATAATTAAGCACACAAACACTCAAACCAAAATTTTATTATTTTGTTTCATGAGAGAACTAATACTTACTTCCTCTTCAAAATCTAATTAGCCAAAATATGACCTGTACCTGTACCTTTCCATAGTTTCTGGAAAAATATATGACACTTGGATCCAAACACTGACAGTTATGAATGATGTACTGCAAGATCAGCATCTGGTAACTTCATAGCTCTCTTTGTCCCAACTTTCTAATATCACAACTATCTTTCTTGCACAATGTCATCATATCTCTACCGTATAAACTTTGGCTTCCATTCTTTGAGGATGATTTTCTTTGGCCAACTATAAGCTTTATATTCTTTCTTAACTGGATAGTATACGCAAAACAAGATATTAAACTAAATAAAATCTTCCTCACATAAAATTTATACAAGGGAATCAAAAGAAGTACTTATTTGAATTTTGAACCATTCTTCAGCCACAAACCAAATACGACAAAGAAGGGAAAGCCCATGCAACTGGCCGAATAAGGCAAATTTGATTTGGATATTTCTTATGGAGTCTGATAGATACATAAGCAAGTAGCGCATCACTTTAAGCCTCTTTACACTTTAATCTTTATTAATCCATCTTTAAAGTCTTCCATTTCACTTTATTATCTGCATGAAGAAGACCATAAGCAGATATCATTCAATTCATTTAAACACATTAAAGGAGTGTTGTCAAAGGTCAAAGGATTGGAAGCCGTTCTTATTATATCAAGTAAACCTGCAACTTATGCTGTAGCTGAGCGAAGAAATAGCACAATTATCAACATGAATATTAATCATCTTGCTGCTTTGAGCGTGTGCCAGTATGAACACACTACCTAATTGGTAGCCAAACCTAACAACCAACTCAACAAGTGTTCTACTAAGAGAGAAAATTTAAACAAGACTAAGGAGTAGGGACAAGTTTGAAATTTCCCAACAAAAAAACATAACAGATGAAATTAACCACATCAATTACTCAACCTAAAAGATGCAACATAAAAAGATTAAAATTAAGGTACATAACACCAACATCATTTATAATAAAGAAGACATCAAGTTCAAAAAGAAATTTTAGGTGTATGCTACAGAAAGCCAAAACCAGAAACATGACCTCTAAAATTAAGTGGTTTATAGTCACATAAGAAAATAGAGAAGGGACACAGACAGCACATTTTCTTTCACCAACTACAGCTCTTCTGAATGCTGAGCAACTATGATCATAATTCAACCAAGCATCTCACTAAAACCTCACCCACCAGTAACGATTAGAAACCTTTTATATTGTATCTCAAATGAAAACACACGCTGCTTACAAAATGCAAGTATTTTCTGAAGTTCAATTATAAATCATATTTCAGTACCTAAATACTGTGAAATGTAGCACCGCCATTACTATTGTGAAAACTCTACAGTAATTCAAGCGTAAATATGATACCCAAATCCCAAGAATGACGATATGGCTCCGTAAAAGATATAGAAATTTTCACAACGAAAATTAAACTATCACTATTGTGTAAAACTCGAACCTTGAATCATCCCTTGCTGGTGAAGGAGACCGAGAATAGGCTGCAAAAAAAAGATGTATAATATTAAAATGAAAACAATGAATAACTTCTCATAGAAAAATTGAACTAAAAAAGAAACATCATTGCATTTAGAAGATGATTTAGAGATGAGTAATAAAACTGACAACGATAACGGCGCCGTGGGGATCTTGAACGAGCCCTCCTTCTTCCACCTCCATATCGACTACTACATCAGAAAAACAAAAGAAGTCAATAAACAGTAAAAGAAAATCCGATGCACAAGATTTCCATAACTCCAAAACAGAAAATCAATTAGCAAATCAAGCTGTAGTCACACCTTCCTCGAGCATTAAGACGCATTTCTTGAGGAGTTTTCCTATTTTCCTCAGCAAACACAATTCTTATTTCGCGTCCGCCAATGATAGTGTGATTAAGATGTTGCTTTGCCTCCGCCGCATCTTCACCATATCGATATTTCACAAATCCAAAGCCCCGGGGCTCACTACAAAATCAATTAAATCAAACTTCAACGTTAAGAAAGCAAAAATGCAGAGTTTAAAAAAGCAATGGATGATACAAGTGAGTAACAATCCTATCAGAAGCAGATTGCATTGATACTAAAGCAGAGTTACCCAGTGTAGTAATTCTTAGGAAGATAAACATCCTTCACAGGGCCAAAGCGCTCGAATGGGATCCTAAGATCCTCAGGCCTCCAAAAAACAAAATGAAAAATTCAGCGTAAAGAAAGTGTTAAAGAGAAAGATAAGAGGAACGAGAAAGAGTAAGGAAACACAAAAAACCTAGCATCGAGGGGGAGATTGCGAACGAGTAAGCCAGAAGGAAGAGGTGAGCGGCGGTCTCTGTATGACCTGCTGTCACCATAGCGATCGTCGTCGTGACGCTTGCGTCCGCGAGGTGGGGTTCTGCTTCGCCGGCGAGGGCTGCAGCTTCTGCTACGGCTTCTATACCTCCCCATTACTGCGAGAAAAACCCTAATTTTCCACCGAAACAACTAAACCCTAACCCTAACGTTGAAGGGGTGCAATCGCTCGTGCCCTGGGACAAGGTTATGCGATAGTAAAAACAAATAAACGAAATGACTCACTCTGGCTTATTTGGGTTGAAATTATATATATTATAGGTCCTTCCATTCCACCCGGTTTCCGTTTATTTCATTACACACCTTTAGTGGATGCTCATGAACGTTTAAATTTACGAAAATGCTAAATAATGTCATAAGGAGAAATAAAAATCAAATAATTTTTTTAAAATGCATTTACTTTGATATATTTTAATTCATTTGAATATAATCTTAGTTCAAGTTTATCATTAATTTATTTTTAAATCAATGTTACAAAGATACTAATTGATAACATTTTAAATTAAAAATTAATAAAAGTAGTTATTTTTCCATTTCTAATCTTTTTATTAAAAATTTTCGTTTATTCTCTCTTAATATAAAAAAATTTTCATTAATATCTAACACTTTTCATTTGTTTTTTCGAATGATTTGAAAAAGCAATTTATAATATTTTAAAAGAACGATGTAAAAAATAAAATAAAAAGATCATTGAGTAAAAAAATTATTTTATGATGTTTTATTAAAAAATAAAATATTTAGCTGCACTTTCGATCTTATTATATTTAATTTATGTGTAGCCTTTATCTTTTTAATTTAAATATTTATATTTATTAATTTTAATATTTTAATCATTCATTTTTCTGCTACAATTTTTTTAATCAATAGATAAAAAAATATAAATATTGATTTGTATAGATTAACAAAAATTCATATCAAATATGTAAATATAAATATTGAATAAAATTTATAAAATATAATAAATACTTTTTATTTAATCAATTGATGAAATTTTGAGGTTGGAGATCTTAATTTAAATAATTAGAATACTAGAAAAGTTAAATGCAGACAACTCACATCAAAGATATCAAAACTAAGCATGAGCTAATATATAAAAATTTTAAAAAAAATCTAGGAAACAAATAAATTAAAAAACAGTTATATCAAACCAAAATTAAAAAAAATTAATAAAAGACGTTATTTATCCTGTTTTAACCGTGAAAATATCCATCACTAGATTGGACGATACAAAATAAAATTATGTTTACGTGTCTTTTTGTGTGACGCTACGTTTTTTAATGATTTGACACCATTGAAGACAAATTTGTAAACAAGATTAAAACTTTTACATCACTAGTATTAAACGTATATTTAGTAACATATTTATATTATTAGGAATACGGTTAAGGTTAATTAATGTAAATATGTTTTATCACTGTATCAATATATTTGATAAATTGGAATTGAAATATAATTTTACTCAAACTCGTGTTCAAATATATGTGATAAATTGTAATTTATGTTTTTAGTTAAAAAATTATATTAAACTCTGTTTAAAACTTATTTTTAAAAATAATTATTAATTCAAACTCAATTTTAAATAGAATATTCTACAAAATTAAGTTCAAATACATACTAACTTTGATAAAAAAAAAATTAATATTTTTATTTTGATTGAGGATAAAAACAAGTCAACAATGTTAAGAGGAGTGGATTATAAAAAAAAATATAAAACCAGAGGAAGATAAAGTTTATTTTATCTTAAAACATGTATAAATAATTAATATAAATAACAGTGAAAAAAATCATTGCACATAGATACAACTGCTAAAATTGTTATTATCACAAGTATGAATTTGGATGCTTTTAATTTTCCCAAAATGTAACCCGTAAGTACTGGCATTTAATCATTATAAAAATAATATTATTTATTAACAAATAAAAATTATCAAGTATTTAAATAATTTTTATTAAAAAAAATACTACAGACTCTGAAAAGTTATAACAACAAATAATATATATTGTATTAACATTTAATGTAGTAATAATTTTATGAGGAAAATTATTTATTAACATACTATATTATATTATTAATATAAATTTATAATACTGGTACTGATATGTTGAATTTGATTAAAAATATGCATTAACAATAATTAATCTAACGTATAACTAATAATAATAAAAAGAGGAATTAATTAATTAGAGAAAGCAGATTGAATGACATGAAATAATAAATAAAAAGAGAGAGAAAAATAAGTGGGGCCACACCGCATCGCATTACACCTCACTCTATATTTTCAACTTTCCGGCATTGTTTGGTTTCATCCGCTTTCGTCCCCAAAACATCGCAGCTACAGCTACCTTTTCCTGTCTCCCTACCTTTTTTCTTTTTAACTTTTTCAAATCGAGGCCTAGGACCGCCATTAACAGGACCACGCTATTCTTCTTTTTATATTGAGATTTGCTACTAGTTAAGGTATAATTTATTACTTGATATCCACTGATTAGCATTTATCTTTAACAATATTAATATCACTTTTATATAGTACCTAAGAAATAAATAAATATGCAGCGTTCGTCTCTCTCACTCACTCGCCACCGTTAAGCTTGAAGCCTTTCCTTGGTCACATCATCAGCCTGACCTTAGCGGAATCATTAATGCTAAAAAATTAGATGAATATATCTGAATTTGCTTAGTTCTTCCTTTGGCGTCTTATTTTTTTCTTTTAGAGATCTTCAATATTTGAAATCATTTTTTGCTTACGATTAACTTGAGTCTTGCTAGAAAAAGCAAAACACCTATATCTTTGTGAGCAAAATTTACAATTATAGTTCAATCTTAATGTTTCTTTTCGGGGAAAGTTATTTTAATATAGAATTTAGTAAGATAAAATATAAAATATAGCTTATTTAGGATATTTACAACAATATAATTTTTTTAAAATGTAAATAACGGTTTAACGTAAATAGTAAAATGGCATCAGGTCAGAATAGTCAAGAAATTGATAGCTGCTGTTATAAAAACGCCATTTACGATTTCTTAACACTGTAGTACATGAAATTGGTTAAATTAGGTCAAAATTTATTAAAAAATCACATATGATGATTTTTTATCACGTTGTCTAGCCACTGTAAGTGATATCGTATTGTCTGGATCTCTAAATTAAGGCAAACTCGTGACTTGCAAGTTTTGACCTCTTAGCATGCACGTCATGCAAGAAATGACTGGAGCATATCTGAAACTTGTAAACTCATAATTTGTGAGTTTTGAACACTTTTCAAGCATGCAGAATAACTATTGCTAGGAAGATTCTAAATTTCTTATGCATTTTTTTGCCTATATATATCAGGTCCAATTCTTGTTGCATGTGCGAGAGGGTATTTTTGAAGTAAAGAAGAAACATTTTGGAGAGGAAGAAGAAGAAGTAGGGTGAGAGAGAGAGTATTTTAAAAAAATTCAAAAAATTGGCAAAAAATTATGATATTCATAAGTTAGAATTTGTGAAAAAAAATGGTTAGGAACTCAACTATTGATTCAAGAAAGTATATTTCAGAGCAAATTCAAAATCAAAATGTAAGTTTTTATTATTTTATTTTATTTATTTAATATATATTTTGTAGAAATTCTATAATTTTTTATTTTATTTATTATTATTTTCAATATTTTGAATGTATATTTTGTAATATTTGTAAAAATTATTATAAATCAGTAATTGAATATAACTGTATATCAATTATAATTTGTAAATGAATTATTTAGTAATTACTAACTTGCATGCAAAATTTATTATAAAAAAAATAAGAGAGAATTAATTTAAAATAAATTATAACAACATTGTTGAATTTTTTTATTGAAAATAATATTATTTTTTCTAATTAGTCGATAGAGTTTTGTCAAAATTGTAACTTGAATAATTAATAAAATTAAGTTCACAAGAAATTATTTATTGCATTTTATATAATTAACATATTGAATAGTACCTATATAGGTTTATTGTTAACCAAGGTTTTTTATATCATTTGTAGTAGGTAATGAGATTGTTATGGTATCGTCACTTATCAATAATGCCTTCTAAGATAGAAATTATGAAAATTTTACAACATGCCAGTTTTGATCAGATTTTTCAACTTTGTCAAATGCAAATAAATTGTTCACTCATTAATGCACTTGTGGAAAGATGACGGCCTGAAACACATACATTTCACTTAATTTGTGAAGAATGCACAATTACATTGCAAGATATTTATATGTTACTTGAAATTAAGATCAATGGTGTAGCAGTGATTGGTTCTACAAATCATTTTACTGTTGTAACACATGAAATGTGTGATAATTTAATAGGGGGCTAACCAAATTCAAACGACATTGAAGGATCAAAAATTAGATTATCATAGTTATCACAACACCTTGGTTAGCTTCATTGTAATTTGGATGTTAGGTTACAACAACATACTCGTGGATATATTCTTTGCTTGCTTAGACATGTTTTGATGCCGAATAAAAGTAATGCAGTGGTGTATTCAAAATTCTTGCCGTTGTTGACCGATGTGAATTAAATTGGGAATTACAGTTGGAAAGCAGCATGTTAGGCCTCTCTGTATAGAGAGTTGTATCGTGCTTCTAGATATGATGCCAAGAAATATGTGGGTGCTTGATACTACTGCAGGTGTGGGCATGACATCGCCTCCCATAGCTAGCTCCAATCCCGGGTTCACCAACAGTATTTTCGCTTACTCTGAGATAGAGACGTATGCGTTATTCAACGAATACACCGTTTAAGAATCATCAAAATATTAGATTAGCATTGAATCAAATGGGTGTTAATGAGGTAAACAATTTTACTAATGAATGTCAAACATTCCTATAATGTTGTGTTAACAGAAATTAATATTGTTTTTTGTAGTTTTTGTGGACAGCATACGTGGATGATGAAATTGATGCAGTCACTACAAATGAAGCACGGGATGAACAACAAGTGTGGTGTACTGTCTCTCCTCTTATATGTTTTGAAGTTATAGAGTGACATGCAACTGACCATGTCATGCGTCAATTTGGATATGCTCAGCCTATTCCTCTGCAGCCGCAACAACTTGAAGGAGCCCATAACAGAGACCTAAGTGGAGTAAGAGAACCAAATGATTGAACAGTCATTCATCATGATTGGGCAACAATATGGGAGCATCAACATCAACGTATTTTAGAAGGAGTCAAAGCTCAGAATTTCTATCCTTCTAATGAATATTGG